TTTTATCAAAATCTGTCTAGAATTGTGTCTTGTAGAGTGTTTACAAGCAATTGTGGATGGATGTACAGACGGACATGGGTGACGCCCCTCCCCCCATTTCATATGGACGTATATAAAGTGGTCCAAGTTTGTTTTTGTCCAAGTTTTTCTGAATCCTTGGGAGGTAGGATACTGTTAAATCTTAGTACTTTGCTAAAAGGTTATAAATTCCCCTTGCTGCATAATTCACTGCATAGTTTGGTATAAAATTCACCCAAATTTTGCCACTCCAGTATCTTTCCATAATCAAATGTCAACCCAGAAACCAATATCCCTTTTAAATAATTCAATTGAATTACTCTAACCAACTAGTTATGTCTTCCAAATGCTATTTTTCCCTTCCCTATGGTCTCTTCAACACGATTTGTTTCACACAAAGCCAAGAATTCTAACCTACAATTCTCAACTAAACTATATCCCTATAGCATTTAATAATTTAGGCCGCTACGTGCCGCCATATTGTAATGACTGCACTTCAAGCAGTTTTTCATCTCACAATAACTGCTCCCTGATAACGGCGCTACTGAATTGTCCGACATTTTAATGGCAGTCACAGTATATTGCCGCAATAGAACTGGTGTATATTGCCGCAAATACTGTTATCCGCATGCAATACACATAAAATTAGGTTCCATTAGAAAACGATTATTGTATAATACGTATTAAATAAAGTAAAACCAACTCTACCACGTTTGTAAAACGATAAACTTGCGAGATAATTATGGGCGAGAGGGTGGGGGTGTAAAATGGGAAAAACGATGTATTTATCTGCGAACTTTAGCGAATTAATGAGAACAAAGTGTATTTAAGATTGCGTAAAAATGATTTGATATTAAAGTAGACTTACCGCAGAAGCACTTTGAATAAAACTGCATATTAAAATCACAAATAAACTATATATCACCCTAAAATACATAAAATAAAGAATTTCTGTAGACTCTGTCGAATTTCTAAAAACTTTTCTAAATCTAATAACTTCAATTTTGGAGAAAAATAATAGAAATAAGTAAAATTGTACTTACCATGCGTGCATGGTTCGCGACTTGGACGAACCCGTTCGTAAACACTTTTGACTACAGTTCTTAGTAGAGCACTGTTCTCCGGCTAAGTTGCCAGAAATAAGATCACAAAAAGTCATTTCAAAAAGTCACACGGCGAGTCTCGAACTCCAGCCGTAAACTTTCCTGCCAGGAGAGTTTCCTAGCGAATAAAGAAAATCCAAGTTTTTCAATGAACGGTACTAAAATACATAAGTTTCACAAAGCGTTCATCGCTTAGGTTCTTTCGCAGGATTCTCTTCTCTCCATGGGCAAGAATCTATGGAATATTACACCGAATTTTGGTATTGAAGGCGGGGTCTAAATCATCTCCTACGCCAATCAAACGGGTGGAGAGAATTTAGAATTACTCAGTTCCGTTATAGGGAAATAGCAGAAAAAGCCATTCATTTCACAAAGGTTTCAAATAATTTAAATCAGATGCATAAATAGAAGATTTTTCACATTTCGGGTGTGACAACTAATTATTTGGGATAACATAGAGACCATTGTTTATGATAGCCTGGATTAAGACAATTTTAATTATTGGGCAAAAGGAACTAATTAAGTAGGTGTTAATCCGCTAATATACAGATTATATTTGATGAAACAGCAAGAGAATGAATTTCAATCTTTTAAGACTCTCTGCAAACGTTTAAAACGACTTTGAAACTTAAGCCAAAGTTGGCATCAAATCGGCCATTTTGCTACTGGTGCGTTTGATTGACGTGTGTACGTGGGACGAAGTACTTCTTGAGGGAGGAACTATACTTCCGCAAAGAGAAGTTAGTGCAGTTGAAATATTTCAATTTTAGAAAATATTTACAAAACTTTTCCCACAAAAATGTACTGGGAGTGAATAACAGGAAATAATTTCAATATTCAATGCAGGGAAAAAAAATACCTGGGATTTGAAGGAGGCGAAATTTGAGTGGGTAAGACGGTGCCATTGTTTCTTCAACTTTCTACATTGGTACTTGGAATTTTGGCTTCTCGTGCTTTGAAACCTCTAAAACAAGATGGTGGAATTGTGAGGGCCGTTTTGGAGGTTCAGCCGAAGGAAAAACTTTTGGAAAATTCTTTTGGAATATGAGGTTATAGTGAGATCTGGAAAATAACCGTTATTCTTATTAAAAACTTTATTTTAATTAAAATTCGGCATGAAGCCGAGAGGAACTGCCCAGTGGCAATTGGCACTTATATTGGTGATCTTCATCTCTGAATACTTGGGTTCTGTTTCTAGTGCGGTAAGTAGACTTTAGTGCCGTTAAAACTTTCTTGATGTGCCCCTTTAAATTTGTTCATATGTTTCCTGTGCGTTATTGAAAGTAATTTATAGAAGTTATCAGAAGTATGCGTTATACTATTCAATAATGTTGCAAAATAACAGTTCACTGTAACATCCTGTAAAAGAATTAATTTTAATACACGCACATTTTCGTCCTGATGCTTTTGATGCGTCTTTTTAGAAGAAATGCTCCGTTTTCGCCTTAAATTGATTCAAGAAATGCTCTCAGTATAATAGGAAATTACATGGAAAAGTTTTAGTTGTGTTTCTGTTAACAATCAGATAAAAAGGTTGGTTCTGACCATTAAAATAACCAAGTTTGGGTAATTTACTTATTACTGCAAATGTAGTTTTATTATTTTTTAGGCCTAACTTTCTCATTGTTTATTAAAGTGAATATCCTAATATAATTCGGATTTTTTTTTATATAAATTAAGCAGAGTAAAGGTTTTGCAATTGCCGTGGAAATGAGCTTCCATTCAATTTTCGATTTTGTAATTAAAATTATGTCTTCAGTAAATAAGATTGGATCGAGTTTTTTTGGCTTAAATAAACTATCAAATTGTTAAATTAAAGAAAAAATCGGGAACCCCAGTTCTTATAGTTTGATAATTTTGATATTTGGTCCTGAAGTATTTACCGTTACAGTGAATTGGTGGCATGGGAGCATTCGTTGTAAAATTCTTAAGCGAGTGTTACTGGGCTATGTGTGATGTTATAAACCGTTTTACTATAGACATTAGAATACGCCTTTAGTTACTGGTAGCTTATTTAACTATTGCTGAGTTAGAGAGAAAAGGATGATAGATGAATGATGAAATAAATGAAGGCTTTAAAAGTCCAGAATGAATGAGAAACTCTTTGGATCTGCTTTGCTCAAAATGAATAAAAATCCACTTGCTGCAAAGTGAATGAATCTACACTCATTCAGAATGAATGAATGATCTGTTGGCTCAGAAAGAATGATCTGTTGGCTCAGAATGAATGATCTGTTGGCTCAGAATGAATGATCTGTTGGCTCAGAATGAATTATCCCCATGGTACAGAAAGAATGAATTATGACTCGGACTGATTGAGATCCATGGTACAGAATGAATGAATGATCTGTTTTACTTAGTATGAATGAATGAGAGCCATGTTAAAGAATAGATAAATGATCTGTTTACTCAGAATGAATGAGAGATCTCCATAGCTCTGAATGAATGAGAGATCTGATTTCTGAATGAATGAGAGATCTGATCTCTGAATGAATGAGAGATCTGATCTCTGAATGAATGAGAGATCTGATTTCTGAATGAATGAGAGATCTGATCTCTGAATGAATGAGAGATCTGATCTCAGAATGAATGAGAGATCTGATCTCTGAATGAATGAGATCTGACCTCTGAATGAATGAGAGATCTGATCTCTGAATGAATGGGATCTGACCTGAATGAATGAGAGATCTGATCTCTGAATGAATGAGAGATCTGACCTCTGAATGAATGAGAGATCTGATATCTGAATGAATGAGATCTGATCTCTGAATGAATGAGAGATCTGATCTCTGAATAAATGAGAGATCTGATCTCTGAATAAATGAGAGATTTGATCTCTGAATGAGAGATCTGATCTCGGAATGAATGAGAGATCTGATCTCTGAATGAATGAGATCTGACCTCTGAATGAATGAGAGATCTGATGTCTGAATGAATGAGAGATCTGATCTCTGAATAAATGAGAGATCTGATCTCTGAATGAATGAGAGATCTGATCTCTGAATGAATGAGATATCTGATCTCTGAATGAATGAAAGATGATCTCTGAATGAATGAGAGATCTGATCTCTGAATTAATGAGAGATGATCTCTGAATGAATGAGAGATCTGATCTCTGAATGAATGAGAGATGATCTCTGAATAAATGAGAGATCTGATCTCTGAATGAATGAGAGATGATCTCTGAATGAATGAGAGATCTGATCTCTGAATAAATGAGAGATCTGATCTCTGAATGAATGAGATATCTGTTCTCTGAATGATTTATATCTATGGTACAGAATTAATGAATGATCTGTATGACTCAAACTGAGGGAATGGTCTCTTTGGTTCAGATTGGGTGAGATTGATGGTACAGAATGTATGAGCTTTATAGTTCAGAAAAAATGAATGATCACAGCAGTTCAGAAAGTTCTTTGATGGAAAAATATTCAATTGTTGGAATCTTCTTGGCCTGCCAGAAACAGAATAAAAGAAAGATCTCGACAGTTTGGAATATGTTCCTTGGTGCAGAATAAACAAAGTTCAGAATGAATGGTATTCATGGTTCAGAATCAAGTAACAAAAAGAATGATTTGCATGAGGCTGAATGATTAAATTTCTTAATTGATCACAAAATATTTTGTTTCTCATTATAATAATGACATGTTTGTTCTTTCCAGGCTTGTCAAGGATGTACAACGTCACAATGTATCTGTAAAGGTCAAAAAGGACCAAGGGTAAGGCCAGTTTGATTTATTATGCAGAGTGCCAAAATGAACATCATTAGCTATGTGAGTTTGTATCACCAATAGTAAAATATCATCTTGTGGGAATTATGTAACTTAAAAACCAGTAACAAGGACTTGAAATATATTTTAGGGAGAAAATGGTTTACCCGGTTTAAGAGGACCTGAAGGTGTGCCTGGTTTTCCTGGTCCAGAAGGTCCTCAGGGACCTCAAGGCTATAAAGGCGAGAGTGGTAAGGAAGGTTCAACAGGATCAAAAGGCTACCGTGTAAGTATCATTTCCTTCAACTCATGTAGCTTCCTATTCCAGATTCTGCATTTTGAGGACTGATTGAAGTTACTAAGAAGATTTAAGGGATCAATTCGTTGACCATACTTGGCAAAGTCAAGTGCAGAATAGAAAAAATATCTTATGTTTTCTGATCTAAAGTTTGAACTTTTCTTACATTCATTCATCATTCAATGCAAGAAGATTTAGACAGCAATACAAGATGCAATTAGGGTTTGAAATCAATAAATTTATATACTCAATTCTAAAGAATCCTGTGCACCAATTTGCCAGTTTTGGCTATTTGATAAGATAAGTAGATAAAGGGTGTGAGAATAGAGAAATATAAAGAAAGAGATATTCATATACAATAGGAAATAGTTGATGATATAATCATTATATATAAATATTTCCTCCATATCATCATATACTTAGATATTATAACACTTCAAATGACAGGAAGTGTAGGTGGTACATATTTGGAAAACCCCTGACTCAATTGTTTTAAGATAGATTCACCCTTGTTTAGATGAAGTTTAAAAGAATACTACCTCTCAGGCTGACCAAAAATTGAATTATTTATATTTGACCAAGATCAGTCTTTGTTCAGCAGTTGGCTTAACTGAGGTCAAAACTATTTGACACAATACCTCTTTAATGCAATAAAATCTCAAATCTAAGTAATAATCCATTAAACTACCGTATTCATTCTAATTGAAGCCACTGCCCTTATGCATTATTGGTTGAAATCTGTTTGACCTAATACCTACCATTTGACTAGCCAATTATAAAAATGATGGGCACTGATAGTTAAATAGACTACTGGGTGGTAGGATACTATTCTTAGGTTCCAGGTGTCAACAAATTCACATGTATAAAGAGATCTGTTGTTGAGTAATTTTTATCAGTAAATATATTTGTACTCATGACACAAATAAATGTACTTAACATTACTTATAGTTGTAAAATATAAAAGTTATGTATTCTTTTAATTAATCTATGACTAGTAAGTATAAACAGGTTAATTTTGTTAATGATATTGGATGTGAAGTTAAATTAAAAGTGGTAGTGGAATAATATTTTCAACAAGGGCACTCTTTTCACTGTGAATCCACTATCCACTCTAAAACTATTTTGACGCAGGAACACCTTGTCTATAGTAACCCATGCTTCCATAAAATTAATCAAAGATTTAACATAGAAATAGATCTAGAATCTTGTTTTTCTTGATGCGTATGGAATACTTTATAACAACAAATTTAACACCCCTCTGTTGAAAAGTTGCAGCGCCCCCAGGGCTTCAATTAGAATGAATCATTAAGTATTTTTTTCCAAAATTACTTAGTTTAATGGATATATAGTCTCATATAGAGATTATTTTCTTTAGTCATCACCTGGTAAGTCCAACTGATGAATATAAACTCGAACTGAACAAGTATTTAAATTTTGTATCTGAAAATTTTTGCCAATATTCAAAGTATTTGGGAAAGCCTCAATCTCTCTAGAGTCCGTAATAGATGAATGCAGTTCTCCCACAAAATATTACTTTGAAATCATTATTTTTCATGTGAGATAAGGTTTTGTTGATGACCAGTACACAAATTCAGGTGCCTACAAAATATACTTACAGTAGAAAATTCACATCTAGGAAAAAGCATGCGACTTCACTAAGATGTGTACATGTCATATTTAATCTATTGCTCCATGCCAATCAGTTGAGATAAATTCCTTTTTTTCATTTTGATTAATGTAGTTAGAAATCCAGAAATTCTGAAGATAAGGAGGAATCTTTTAAATTCTGATAAAATATTTTAGATTTTGAATTAAATTGACTATAAATACACATTCTATATCTACTGCACTAGTAGTCTTTATAATCAAGGTATAAGTACAATGCGAGTAGTAGCTTGACAATCCAGACAACCGTTTCTGTCGGTATATTAGTAATGGGTATTTTAGTAATCTATTGTGTCTATTTCAGGGTGATACTGGTTTACCTGGTTTTACCGGAGTACCTGGTGTTCCTGTAAGTATTAACATTAGTTATAATTTAGGAGTTCTGGTGCATCAGTTCCAAAGAAAGGGACATGAATATATTTATTTATCATTTGTCCAGATGTCATAAAAATTCAAAAATGAAATCATATTGATTGGGTATTTGGCTTTCACAAATTATTGGGTGTTGTCACACCTTAAAATGAAATAGAATAGAGTTTTTACATCAAGTCGGTGCAAGTTTTATGTTCTGTCATTTAAAGCTAAGACCCACTTTATGAAGAAGAAGCTAAAAATCACATAGGCATTGTTTTTAGAAGCATATAATGTTTATTGAGACTATAATTTGTGTTATCTGTAATATTAAGGTAATATTATCATAATGACATCACTAAATTAATGCCATTGTTTATTTTCTAGGGTCAAGTAGGTTTAGAAGGTCCTGTTGGGCCAAAAGGTTACCCTGGTTGTAATGGTACAAAGGTTAGTATTAATGTTTATTATTGACCAGTCCAGATAGACCTGTATCATTACAGTCATAGACAATTTTGAAATTTGCATTCAGACAGATATGTCATGATGAAAACGGATTTGTAAAGGGGTTTTCTTAATTGTTTATGTGTATTGAGGACAGTATATCAGCAATTTGCACCATTCCAATTTCTAGTCTGTGGTTCCTGCAATTTCACAGAACAGTTTGATTACGTTACTAATCATGAAATATGCTTTGTCACATGAAGCCCTTCATGAATAGTGACATCTTAGTTTAAGTGAAATTGCAGGAACCATAGACATCTGATTAAGAATTGTAATGGTGCAAATTGCTGATATACTGTCCACGATACACAAAAAAATATACAAAACCTCTTTACCATCACTTTAAGTCTAAATTCTGTAGATTTTGATTAGCTATGGCACTGAACATGTTTATATTTTTATTGCTTTTTAATTCTGTAATGGACAGGATGTTCCATCATCAAAGAATTCAACCCAGAAATAATTAATCAAAATAGTTGCCATTCCTCTTTAGTAGGGGGTGATTTCAATACTATTAACTTTACTAATTGGTGCTAGGAATTTTACACTTCATTGATAAAGTATGTTGTGACTATTGTCCAGTCTGTAATTTATCAGCTGTTATAAAGTAATATGATCATTGACAGTAATGGAGAGTTGTCCCCCCCCCTGCTGTGGAGTTCCTAGTGAGCCCAGGGGGATATCTTGATTGACATCTTTCTTATCTTCAATACATACAGAACTTATTTATATCTTAATGCCTGTTCAAGATAAGGTCAATTCTTCTTAACAGTTCCATCAATTTCAATTTCTTTATGTGGCAGGGTTCGCACAGCCTTGAAAAACCCTTGAATTCCGTCCGTTGCCTTGAAAACCTTGATTTCAAAGAAAGTCTTTGAAAACACCATAAAAACCCATTTTCTCTTGAAAAGTCCTTTAATTTTGAGTTGAGTCAAATTGTGTATATTTTTATCATTAACCCCATTGACAAATATTAACTATCTTTATTGATTTCACAGTTCAGAAGTTAGGTACATGTGTATTCTGTCAGACTAATATCCTTGAAAAGTCTTTGAATTTTTTAGGCAAAGTGCTGTATGAACCCTGTGTGGGCTACACAGTCATTCTAGGATACTTTCTAATTGAATGCAACTTGACTTATGATAATATGATTGTCAGATTATGATAACAAGATCTTGAATAAATTTGTTTGTATACTCTATTCTTATTTATTTAATGTCCTAATATGGAAAGTATTGTTTTCATTTTTATTTAGGTGATCAATTTTTGCTTCTTTTTTTAAGGGAGAACGTGGTTTTCCCGGTCAAGATGGTTTGCCCGGTTTACCAGGTTTTAGAGGAAGAGAAGGTTTAACTGGTATGAAGGTCAGTATTTCAAACTTGTTTTTTGAAATATTGTAAATCAAAGAAATTTTAAGTTTTTCCTTTTGCATAGTAGTTTTTATACGCCCACATCTCTTTATGTGGACGTATATTGTTGGCACCCCTGTCGGTCGGTTGGATCCGTCGGTCGGTCCGTCTGTCCGTCAACATTTTCTTGTAAACGCTCTAAAAACTAGATTTTTTTCATATGAAATTTGGTATGTGTATACATATTCATAAAACAAAGATCAAGTTCGAATTTGAGCTATTTTCAACCATCAGAAGCCATTGCCATTATTCCCCTTGCCCCAAAATCTTGAATATGCTATTACTCTCTTAGTTTTCAACCGATTTTGATGAAACATAAAATAGATGTTATTTGACCTAAATCGAAAGGTTTGAGAAAGTTTAGTCAACTTCTGATTAAATTTAAGGCTTTTTCAAGATTTAGGCCTCTTACGTCAGTTTTTGAGGAGTTATCGCCCTTTAACTTCTATACAGTAAGTGCTTCTATCAACATCAATTGCTCGTAAACACTCTAAAAACTAGAGTGTTTGAAGGAATCAAATGAAATTCGGTATGTGCATAAATATTCATGAATCGAAGGTCGGTCCGTCCGTCCGTCCATCAACATTTGCTTGTAAATGCTCTAAAAACTAGATATTTTGATGGAATCAAATGAAATTCGGTATGTGCATACATATTCATGAAACGAAGGTCTGTCGGTCCGTCTGTCCGTCAACATTTGCTTGTAAATGCTCTAAAAACTAGATATTTTGATGGAATCAAATGAAATTCGGTTTGTGTATACATATTCATAAAACGAAGATCAAGTTCAAATTTGAGCTATTATCGACCGTTAGAAGCAGAGTTATTGCCATTGCCCCAAAATCTTGAATATTTACCATCCGCCCGTGGTGGGTGTATATGGCTGTGGTCCACTATCTTAAAACTTCTAGTTCTGCTTGATAACTGATATTGATGGATTAATATTTTGATAAAAATGTTACATTATCATGTTTATCATTTGAAACTTGATATGATGTTTTAGGGAGAACCGGGAATAATTGGTGGAATTGGAATAGGGGTGAAAGGTGGACCTGGAGAGCCTGGTTTAGACGGTAGACCGGTAAGCACTTTTAAAATGGAAATATTTTGGAAAAGAAAAAGACAAAAGAGCAAATTCTTCTCCAATACCTTCTCAAATACTTTCTATTTATAAGAGCAAAAATAATCTGAGATTCACTTAGACAAGGGAGATAATTTAGTGCTTAGTTAGAATTTGATTATGTGAGTTAAATTCATGGAATCCTACATAAAATTTTCTAGTCTCTCTATTTGTGAGGATTTGCGTCAGTTGAACCTAATTACACCCAATACTGACCGAGACATATAGCAGCTACAAACAAATAAATTTAGATTGAAAAATTTGATTAGCAATTTATCACACCATATTTCAGTGTTAACTCTTCAAGTTAAATTTTCATTAACATTTCATAAAAATTCGAAAGCAATTTTAAATTGCCAAAGATGCTATTTCCTTAAGGGTTATAAAGACTGCTGAGAGTTGGCTTTTGCATTTTCAGGGATCATCAGGTTTACCTGGTTTCCGTGGTGAAATTGGTGATAGAGGTTTTGGTGGTGATGTTGTAAGTATAGACACTAAACACTGATTTTGGGCAACTGAAGGCGTGTTCAGGAGGGGGCTATCCCTGAAAAATTTTCATATATGGGAAGCCAAAGAATACATGTACATCTTACACCACTTTAGAAGTGAAAGTAGAATAAATGTTCCAAATACGCCTACATCACTGGTCCAACCTTATCGTTGAAACTTACTGAGGAAAACCTTGACAGGAAAGTTCCATCTACATGAAGCTAAATTTCATCAGAAATATGAAGCTCTGTTTCATAATATTGGGCTTAAATTTTTAATCTTCTACTACTTGAATATAGTATTTTCATCTAAGATACCTCTGAAAGCTGGTTACAATATCATCAGCTCTTAGGATGTTGAATAAGGTAACATCTTAAGGTAACATCTTTGAGTTAAAAGTTTCCTATTTGTTTAGGGTCCACGTGGCTTACCTGGTGTAAAAGGTTATAAAGGAACTGATGGAAGTCCCAATTATGGTGACAAGGGTCAAAAGGTCAGTACAATTTCTGAAATCAGTTCTATTTTGATTGACGTAACTTCTTTGGAAAATAAATAAAACACTGTGGAGATGGATTCAACCGTTTGCTGATTATCCAGAAACCCAAATATCTGCATTTGTTCTTCTATCTCAACTGTAGAAACATTGTTAATTTCCACTTGAGGATAATTTATAGTCATATATTTCAATAATGGTAATATTGTAGGGAGAACCTGGTCCTAAAGGTAGTATTGGAAGTGTTCCCCAGAACAGTCGTCCACCAAGTGGTATAAAAGAAGGTGTCTCCGGTGATAAAGGTGGTAAGGGTGAACCTGGTAATGGTGGACCACGTGGTAATACAGGATTCCCTGGTATGCCTGTAAGTAGCACAATCATTCTCAATCCTCTCAGTTCAACTGCTAAAATTAATTTCTGATAGGAAATTTATTGATGAGCTGAGTGGAGCAGCATCATCCAAGTGTAATAGAAAATAAACTTTGGTAGCTCTTTATTTCCTATTGTTTAAGAATCCTTAAAATATCTGTTACAGCTTATCATTCTCCCATCCAATATATATATAAGTCTCCTCAGTGACATTTTTTGTACACATGGGTAAAACAGCATAAAATATACTGATAAAGAGCGATGATTACTTTCCCAGAATCCTAAACTTTAGCATGTTAGAAGTTTCATTGATTTTTTCAACTGTTAACTGTTGACAATAATGTTTTTCACGGTAGGGTGAAGATGGTATTCCAGGAACCAAGGCACAGAAAGGTGATGCTGGTAATTCAGGAAGACGAGTAAGTACTGAGAGATTTAAATATGTGCATGTGACAATGTGTTCAGTAAAGCCCAAGAGTAATAAACAATTTTCTAAGATTTTACCGGTGCAAATTACCCTATAGAACATGGTTCAACAGATAAAGTGCAGAAGAACAACTAAAGAAAGTCTCAAAATTTCTGTATTTAGTTTTTATTAAGCAGATTTTCATCACTGAGAAAATGTTTTCAGATTTTCAATGAAATATAAATGCTTAAATATGATATAGACATTGAGACAGAATAGTAATATGTAAAGTTATAGTATACTTTCTAAAGCATTAAACAGCACATGGTTTGTAGGCCAACTTATTTTAATAAACAAGGTCAAAGTGAAAGCTGGGTACGAGGTTAGGTCGCATAAGTACAGGTCATGATATATGAGTAGCTAATATTGGACAGGGCATTATTTGTTGGTGTATATCTATCAGAATGTGTAATCCAATGTCTGAACTGTATAATATCATTATAGTTAAGGTACCAATTTGTCACTTAATAATGAAATCCTTCAACATATGGTGATAATTGAGATTTACCCAACTTTCTCATGTCATGTACTTTTAATTTCTATTAACATTGAATATTGCAGGGAAAGAGAGGAAAGGAGGGTGTACAAGGAGCATATGGTGCTAAGGGGAGTACTGGTGATAAAGGTTTAACTGGTTTAAATGGTAATGATGGACCTAAAGGTATGCTTGGTGATGCTGGTTACCCTGGTCGTCAAGGTCCCCAAGGTGCTCCTGTAAGTTAATTTCTTCACTTTTGACCTCTATATTGGGTAAATTTCAGAAAGACAGATTTTCATGATACAGTTCCATCAGTATGCATTTCCAAGCATTTTAGTTTTTTTTTTATTAATATGTCACTAATGAACAGACTTCAAAAATCAATTGGGACGATAGTTTAGCATGCAGTATTGAAAAAGTATTGAAATATCACAATTATTTCATTCAGGGTTTACCTGGTATCATATCAGAAAGAGAAGGTCGTGGTAACCCAGGTCCTCCTGGTCGTCAAGGTCCACCTGGATTACCTGGTCTTAAAGGACGAAATGGTCTACCAGGCCAAGGGGGGCCCGAAGGTCTACCTGGTATACCTGGTCTTCCAGGTCTAGATGGTATTCCTGGAGAACCTGGTATTCCTGGAATGTCTATGAAAGGAGATAGTGGTAATGTGGGTAAGTGAAAACATATAAATCTTCTTTACTCTAGAAGGAGTAATTAATGCACAAAAGTTTGAATAGCAACTGAAAGATTGTTTCATGACCACAACACAAAAGGTAAAATGAAGTGAGGGAACATAATTGAAAAATTATTCAAATTGAGAAGAAGTTCTGTTATATTTCCCATTTAATCTACAATTGTAATGTTCTAAAAGATATATTGTTGATGATATCTAAATTTATTTTCTGCAGGTAAACCTGGAGAACAAGGTAAAGATGGTTTACCTGGATTACCAGGACTTTCTGGTTTACCTGGTGATCAAGGAGAACCTGGAACCACAATAGTAGGTCCTGATGGTTTACCTGGCGTACCTGGTTTAGATGGGTTACCTGGCTTGCCAGGATTCCCTGGTGACAATGGCCTCCCTGGTTTACCTGGTATCCCTGGTGAGAGTCTATTTAAAATAGGTTTGCCTGGATACCCAGGTCAGCCTGGTAACCGAGGTCAACCTGGTATTCCTGGTAGAGATGGTTTAGACGGTCCCCCAGGATTCAAAGGTAAAACAACACCCCCTGTCATTCTTAGTTTTAGTTTTAGAATTATGGAGTCATGGATAAAACTTCTTTAATTTGCTACCGAGTCCACCAAATTTCCACCTTCAAAATCTATCATTGATGTAAATTACATAATGGTAGTCATGTTTTATCTGAAATAGAATGCCTAGAGTTAAATGCCTTTCAGACATTTAACATTATGAAATTTTGATATTGTGATACTAGGTGAAAGAGGAGAAGATTGTGGATACTGTCCTGATGGTTTACCTGGTCCAGTTGGTGATGCAGGAGAGAGGGGTCTACCAGGTAGGTACACTTCATAACCAATGGAAGATTATCTGTCTAAATTAATTTTATTACTCGTGTCCAAGGATATCATGTTTTGGGGTATTTTACAGTATTGGGTCAGAAGTATTATGCATTTAGGGCTTTTGATGACATGGCAACATAAAAAAACACTTATGAAATATGTCTTTAGAAGCTACCACTCCAATGGCTGATATTTGATTTACATCTGATGCCATATGAACTTTCCAGACCCCCTAGTCAAAGTCCTTATAGCTGAGCAATCCATAAAGGTTAATGAAAAGACCCATTAGTCATTAGTTAGTCAGAGATTTGGCAATATCTTTGGTTTTAAGGTGGAAAAGCCTTGTTGATTATTTATTATCAATTTCCTGTTTCCCATTTTGTAAGGTTTGGATGGCTTCTCTGCTTTACCTGGTTTACAAGGTCCTAAAGGTCAGCCTGGTGAAATTGGTTTGAGCGGTTTGCCTGGTTCAACTGGTCAGTCTGTAAGTTTTATCTATTTTTCAAAATTTTCATTGCATGCTTGACAGTATATAGTTGTATATAAGACTGACAAAATAATATATTTCTAGGGTTTCCCAGGTCGTGATGGAGGTATTGGGTTCCCTGGTCAGAAGGGAGAGAGAGGAGAATATATTGGAATTACTGATATAGAATTCTACAGAGGACCGATGGGACAGAAAGGTGACCGTGGATACCCTGGTTTGCCTGGTATTGATGGTTCTATGGGTCCAACTGGTGTACGTGGACCTCCTGGATATGATGGCTTACAAGGAATGAAGGTGAGTTGATATCAGTAGTTCAGGCTAATTTGATGTATATCTGTAGATCTAAAACCTTGTATTGACTGCTCAATGGAGAAGCATCAAAGGCTTTCGAAACTTACTAGTTGACCTTAATAATTGAATGATCTTACTTGAAACATTTATAAGGGTGAATATGGTATTCCTGGTGATGATGGTTTGGATGGTTTACCTGGTTTCCCAGGTCTGGAAGGTGAAAAGGGAGAAATTGGTGACACTATGGTTGGAGCTTTAGGCAGAAAAGGTGTATCTGGTTTACCTGGTTTGGATGGTTTTCCTGGACCCAAGGGTTTCAAAGGTTAGAGCATTTAGGATTAGAATTATTTATATGAAATATAAATTTTAAGGTTATGTGGAAAAGAATGAGTAACAACTATTTTTTCTAAATATGTCCCACTGTACTATACTTATTTCTTTTGAGAAATGTTTAGAATATAATCAGGTTTAATCGACAAAATTTGATACTGATTTTTTTGATACATTATTTATGTACTTAAAACCCATTGTTCACATTTCAAGAATCTTGTTTCAGGTTTTAAGGGAGAACCAGTACCTCTACGACTGTTGGAACCTATGAAGGGGGAACCTGGTCCACAAGGAAGAAGTGGACCTGATGGCATGGTTGGTCTTCCTGGATTACCTGGTGAGTCATTTTCTATTCCATGGCCCTGTTTAAACAAAAAAATTCTTGTCATAAGTGTATTGAATTTTGAATTGAAAAATACCATACTTATTACAAAATTGATCTTAATCTGAACCTGATCTGGATGTTGATGTGGACTTAAATAGTCCTTTTCTTCAAAACTGTCCTTTGGAAGACCTCATTTTTATATACCCACATCACTCTGGATGACGCATAAATCGGAGGTAAAGATCATTATTTCATCTGAAGACGACATATGTTATTTGTGTTGAAAAGTTACGTGTTTGATATTCTATTAAAGAAGTGTGCTTATTTCATGATATTGTCTTTTGTTTGTGATTAAGATCATGTTCAAATTTGAGCTCTTTTCGAGTATTAACCCCTTGCATATTGAAAGGGTTTCGCTTTTCCTATCAACCATTTTTTTCTGCAACTTTGTATTTGTGTTTGTGAAATTTAGGTCTTCTTAATCCTTGTGATCTTTAATAGTGAAAGTTCAATATCTCCATTAGTTTTCAACCTTGGTACACAGGTATATTACCAAAAAATGTAAATCAATGTTTTACCAATTGGGGCATGTTTCAACAGTATTTCACATAAAACTAGCTGCCTATAAGACAGTATCATTGTGAATAATATTTACCATGAGTGAAAATTTTTGATGTGATGTGAGTTGATAAGACTTCAAGATCCATATAATGGCCAAGATTATTGTATTCTCTTATGTGGTTATTTCAGGATTTAAGGGTGCAGAAGGTGAAGAAGGATTACCTGGTTTACCTGGTTTAAATGGTTTGAAAGGGGAAGCTGGTCTGCCTGGTCTGCCAGGTGAAAGAGGGCGATTTGGTATTAAAGGTTATCCTGGACAGTCAGGTTTGCCCGGCCTTTCTGGTTTAGCTGGTGCAAAAGGAATGACTGGTGAAGATGGTTTACCTGGTTTACCTGGCTTTAAGGTACTTTAAAGATTGTGACCCATTGGTTTGATTTATTTTCATATATTTGTGACTTTTGAGATATACCTTTTCTCAAAATGTTACCTTTGAAAACAATTCATTGCAGATCTATACGTAAATTAAATTTTATAGATGAATTGAAGCATTTAGTACTTTTCCATAAGATCCATTCTCTAATTTATTTTTCTTATGTCAGGGATATGCTGGTGACCCAGGTTATCAACCACGAGAAGGTATTCCTGGCCTTCCAGGAGTACCAGGTATAGATGGTGAACCTGGTCCACCTGGTTTAGATGGACAAAGAGGAGCTAGTGGATTTCCAGGTCTGGATGGTCGTCCTGGAGAAAAAGGTGAGGATTCGTAACTTTCTATATTGAGCTATATAGCAAAAAATGAAACTATCATAAGAAGGAGAAAAAAATCAAAACAACCAAAAAATCGAAAGATTTGAATAAAAATCAACTTTCATCAAATAGCCAGGCCAGGTGTACAACTGTCAACACACTGATGCTGAAAGCATAATAATTGTCAAAATAATAATACTAATATATATTGTTTAAAGCCCATTACATCACAATCAATCTCAATAGGATGTACATTGTATAAATCATAGTACAGAGCACTATTACAAAACTAGATAAAATAGCTAAATGATAACAAATAATTGGAAAAATACTAAAAACAAAACCAAAAGGATGTAAAGTATAAAAAAGAGATGACAAAATTAAAAAGAGATTAGCGTTCGTACTAAAACAAAGGGAGAAGATACAATTTATAAAAAATGTGCCGACTAGAGGAGAATTCCTGGATTCATATCTTTTATCTTGTGTTATATGAGTTTAAGAAACTACAATTTTTGATTCTTCATCCTAGGTGATTCTGGATTACCTGGTCTTCCTGGTCGTTCTGGTTCTAAAGGACAACCTGGTGACAGTATTGATGGTAGACCTGGACAACCTGGTCGTCAAGGGGGAGATGGATCACCTGGTAAGCATTTTTCTCTGTTCACAGACAAGTTGTAGCAAATTTTGAATTAAATTTAGTCTGAAAACCTTCATGAAGCTGTTTCATGTGTTTTTATAAAAACCTGGTCAGGACAGTAAGTTGGACATTGGTGGTTAAATTTTCCATATTGGAACCATACCAGCATGTGGGTAAACACAGCAAACTCACTTAAGGTGGACTATGATCTGAAAGGGTTTGTAATTTTGTATGCTAGGATTACCTGGTTTAAGAGGCATTAGAGGTGATGATGGTTTACCTGGCTTACCTGGCCGCAAAGGTGAAGTTGGGGTAGATGGCCTGCCAGGTCGTGATGGACTTCCTGGAGAGCAAGGACGATCAGGTGCTGATGGAGAGCGGGGCTTAGAAGGAATGCCTGGTCTACCTGGTAAGAATTTTTAGTAAAGCTTTAACTAGTTGTCACATATTTTGCATTGAAAATTCACATTTTTTTGAAGATCACAATTATCACATTTTTTTTAATTAAAGCAATATTACAACAATTATCTGCTAAATCACTGCTGAATATTGATCCACACCATTGTTTTCTTTAAGGTTTACAAGGAGAGAAAGGATCCACTGGATTACCTGGTCTTCCTGGTAGAGACGGTCAACCAGGCTTACCTGGTGTTGATGGAGCTAAAGGTCAGTATGTGTTCTAAAATTGGTGCAGTTATTTATTATTATAAATTATAATTATTATGTATAATTTGCTTTGCCAACTTTGCAAGTTTCAAAATAAAAATTTCTCTTTTACAGTTTTATTCCAAATCTGATGTCACATCCAGCTTGTTACTGGTAGCTAACATAGACCACATTACGAATTATTTCAAGTGAGGGATTAAGAATGCCTTTATATATGAAGATGCAGCACTAGGAAACTGGTCTCAATTCAGTTTGGATTTATTATTGTAGGTTTACAAGGAGATGTTGGATTCCCAGGATTAAGAGGAAGTGATGGTTTGCCTGGATTGAAAGGAACACGAGGTCAGGCTGGTGAAAATGGTTTGGCAGGTTTCAGGGGTGATGATGGTTTACCTGGTTTACCTGGTCTTAAAGGAGAACCTGGGTTTGATGGTTGGTATTACAATTGATGTCATCACTGGAAACACTGAATTATGTCCACGCAAACTACACACCACTATCAAAAGCCAAAGAGCAGAAAAAAAAAAGCAGAAGTTGATAAGAAATGGATCCACAAAATATCTTGGTTCACTCGGATATTATAGATTGACAAATCAGGTGGCTTCAGAAAGAAAAGTTGTATTGACCCATATGGCTAATAATTCCTCACTATGGTGATTGAATCAATTTGATTCTGTGTGAAACAATGTGGACATGAAATTTAATAGTGAAAGCTGTTTCTTAATTGCAGGTGCTAAGGGTTTTGCTGGTCGTCCTGGAGATAGTGGTTTACCTGGTTTGCAAGGTCGTCCTGGAGAAGATGGTCGCTCATTCCCTGGTGAAACAGGTGGGTATTTTTAGAATCAAAACAACTTTCATCAAAACTAGTCTCAATACAACTTAATACAACACATAGAAGAATCATCAATAATATAGCATTAATATGATGAGACATATTCCTAACAAGTAAACAAAAAGATATTCATTTTGTACAAGAATATTTGAAGTCTCTACAGATATTTCATGGATAACCTTATTATATCTCCAACATGATTTATAGGTCGAGATGGTTTACCTGGATTATCAGGACTCCCTGGAATAGATGGTTTACCTGGTCCCAAAGGAGAAGCTGGTGTCAATGGTCTGCCAGGTAGGTAGAAACATTTTAACACATTTCTCAGAAGCTATTGATCTGAAATTGTAAAATGTCATGATAGACCTGTCAATGCATATAAGCTTAGACCAAATGGCAATAAGTCACGGAATTCCTTCGGGTCCTTTGGGCAGAAAAAGAGTGGGTAATTGAATAAGAACATTTCTTTATATGTAGGTCTTGATGGTCTCCCTGGTTCTGCTGGTGTCAGTGGTTTACCAGGAGAAGATGGCCGACCAGGACGTCAAGGATTCAAAGGAGCAAGAGGATTAGATGGTCTTCCTGGTTTACAAGGAGAACTTGGCCAAACTGTAGGATTCATTGTATTTTTTAACGTGCGGTGTCATGCTAGAACACTTCATTCTAATATGACTATGTTTTTAAAGCTATTTGGAATGCATTTGGCTATGTAATTTGGATATTCGGCTAATATTTTTGTACTGCAATGACTTAACTCAAAATTCTATTGAATAATTTACATTAAAGTTCTTCTGTTTTGTAAGTCTTTTATTTCTTTATAGGGTGAGGATGGACTTCCAGGAAGATCAGGTTTCCCTGGTGAAAGAGGAGATAGTGGTTTAGATGGTTTACCTGGTATTGATGGTGAAGCTGGTCCAACTGGTGAAGATGGTCGCACAGGACTTCCAGGTTTACCTGGTCTTGATGGACCAAAAGGACAACCCGGTTTACCAGGGTTGGATGGTTTACCTGGAGAGAGAGGACAGTCTGGAGAGGATGGTCTACCAGGATTACCAGGTCTGAGAGGATTAAGTGGAGATAGAGGACTAGATGGATCACCTGGGCGAACAGGTGAATCTGGATTCCCTGGTGATGTAGGTTCTGATGGTTTGCCTGGAATACCTGGAAGAGACAGTATTGGTAAGCAGTTTGAAATTAAAATGACAGTCTTACATACAATTGGGACTCAAACTTTGATATGGTTTAATATGACACTATAATATTTGTTATATGTATTTGACAATATAATATTTGTTTTTTGTATTTGATTGTTATTTGTATTTGACAATGTAATATTTGTTATTTATATTTGACAATATAATCTTTGTATTTGAAAATATAATATCTGTATTTGACAATATAATCTTTATATAGTACTATTATGATGAATTTTTATATGAATAGGCCAGCAAGGTCGTAGAGGTGAAGATGGTCTACCAGGATTTGATGGTAATCCTGGACTCCCTGGTTTAGATGGAGAAGCTGGTCGACCAGGGCTTCCTGGTAGAAAAGGACCACCAGGTTTCGATGGTATTAGTCGTCCTGGAGAACGAGGAAGACCTGGTGATGATGGATTACCTGGCTTAGATGGTAATTGTTCTTTCCATTTTTATTTGAACTACTGTTGCATGAAGAACACAAGACATATGGATATACTTCTATATATTTATATTTCTACTACCACTCCCCTCAATGAACCATTTACGCAAACTGGTGTTTGTTTTTCGATTAACTGTAGACGTAAAAAGCACAACAATGACACAATCTAAGATTTGTGGCACATTCAAGGAACCAATTATTTAAAAAAGTGAAAATTGTGTTAGTAAAGTATCTGAACATAAACATAAGAATTAATCGTTGGTCTGCGTTTACTCACCAATAATGCTAGTGAGACCAACATTAAGTAATGTATGTAATAAATTCAGAAGTATTACTAGTATATTCATATATCTTGAATTCTTTATGTTAACCTTCCTACTTTTATTTGTCTAACAAAGATTATATTCTTTCATGGTATCAATAGAAATTTTAAATCTATCAGGCAAAATTGGTAAATATTGTTTAAAATATGTAGTATTATGGTTTTTATGACCACTCTATAGCCATGTGACATGAGGTTTGGGGAATTGTGCTAAATTCAAATCAAAATGTAACATACAAAGAAATTGAAGTTGTATAGTGGAATTGCCATATAGCAGAGGAGCTTACTTGACTCTGCAGTTGGTAAAGTATGTGATGGAAGTAACAATCATGTTAAATAAAACTGTATATTCACCTTATTACAAATCAGGGTACATAAATAAACTGGTCGTATATGCAGAGTAAGTCCCAAATCTGTTGTGTGAATCTGCACGCACATGCATTCATAACAAACTATTGCACTGATATGGTCTTGTTCCGATTCCAGTCTTTATGAACTGACGGAGATTGGCGATATTGAAAAAGATGTACAAGTAACTGGATAATCAAGACTGTAAACAATGGACGTAAACTACCGTAATACTTGATCTCCATCTTCATCCCACTTGTATTTTTTACATTTCAGGATTAAGAGGAGACTCTGGTAATAGGGGTATTTCTGGATTACCTGGTTTAGACGGTAATAAAGGAGATAGAGGTTATCCTGGTGCACCTGGTTTAGATGGTTTGCCTGGTGAGAATGGTCGAGTTGGCTTGACTGTAAGTTGAATTGCTGAATAATTTGAATGAAATCCTTAATGGGAACAAAAACTGAGGCCCTGGGAACTATAGACTGTGTACATCAAAGTTACCTCAAGGACTGGGGATTGAAAATATTCCCCTAATTGCACACTGTATGACTTTAACAATAATAAAGATTAGAAAAGGGTAAAACTGGGAACAAAAACTGAGGCCCTGGGAACTACAGACTGTGTACATCAAAGTTACCTCAAGGACTGGGGATTGAAAATATTCCCCTAATTGCACACTGTATGACTTTAACAATAATAAAGATTAGAAAAGGGTAAAACTCTTGTAAGATTCCACTTGTTTGAGGCTATACATAAAACAGTTTTTTGTTTAGTTGATACATGTATGTTTCTTTTTGTTAAGGGTGATGATGGTATTGATGGTAGATCAGGTATAAAGGGTATGGCTGGAGAGTCTGGATTACCAGGACTTGATGGTATTCCTGGTGAAAGAGGACAACCAGGTTCACCAGGTCTTAATGGGCCAAGAGGAGATGATGGTTACCCTGGTATGTAAATTGTTTTTACATTTATGTAGTTTTTCATTTTATTATAGTTTGGTAGCTATGGACAACTATATCTTTTTAACTTTTATTAGCAAATCTAGAAAATTATATAATGCCTGAGAATCAGAAGATGCTGGGGGGAAAAATTAACATTAAAAAAGGGGTTACATCTGCATTGGAACTGAGTTTTTAAAAGTTATCTGCTATCTGCTGAGAAAATGAGAATAAACAATAAAAAAATTATGTTTCCTAGGTTTGAAAGGTTTCCAAGGTCTTCCTGGACCAAATGACATCAACAAGCTTCCACCAGGACAGAAGGGTGAGCCAGGTTTGGATGGCCAGCCTGGTTTCCCTGGACCAGATGGGCGAAATGGCCAACCAGGTAAGCTGCTTAAGGCCTCATAATTTTTTTTCTACAAATCATACAATTGGAAACTTTTTTATGGACTGTAGAATTCAGAAGATTCATAATTCTTAAGATTATGATCTTTTGTCTAGATCATCAAATTCTCCTACATTCTAATTATCCATGATTTATGTGTAAACAGGAATTGATGGTTTGCCGGGTAGATCAGGACGAAAAGGTGACCGAGGCATCCCCGGACCACCTGGATTCAAGGGATTTAAAGGAGATGCTGGTGTTCCTGGTCTTAGTGGCTTAGATGGTATGCCTGGTCTTCCTGGTCCACAAGGTTATCCTGGTGAAATGGGTAACATTGGTAGACAAGGTGTTGGACCTGGAATACTTTTTGCTAGGTAAGTTAACTGAGAGTCATTTGCTGTGGACTTCTAACATCATGATGTTATGGCCCTCCTTATCAATATGCTTTCCCTTAATAATAAGTCAAAAGACTTCAGTATTTAACATCAGGATAATGATAATAGTTTTATCCATTGCTAGTTTCTTATCAGCTTCATGGTAATAGCAATTTGACTTCTGTTCCCTTTTCAGACACAGTCAGACTTCCAATATTCCAGAGTGTCCACAAGGAACGTACAAAATGTGGGATGGTTATTCCTTATTGTATGTTCAGGGTAATGGAAGAACACATGGACAAGATCTAGGTAAGAGAAAAGGTCAGATTGTGACCAAAAAAAGATACTTGATAAAATTGCCTATTTGAGAATTACGTGATATTGAATGTTAGGTCTGGTTTACAGCATCAAATTGAAAATTATGTAAGGAAACAACAGGAGATCATTTAATAGAAATATGACACACTCTGGAGTCAATGTCATTATAGTAAGATAAAAGTTCTCTGAACTAGGTCAGTAATGATGATCAATATTAACAAGTTGTTGACTAGCAAGATACATCCACTTCCCTGATTCATGTTCAGTATATCAAGTATTCTAAATTGGAACTTGGCTAAGATCATGTGGATATAAACCTAAATTACAAAAAATTGGATAAAAACTGTGGCCTCTATCGCAAGCTAATTAGTTATGGATGTATAAAAATGCAATCTATTGTAGCAATCAGTCATTTTTCTTGAAATTCCAGGTCAACCTGGAAGTTGTCTTAGAAGGTTCAGCACCATGCCATTTATGTTCTGTAACATAAACAATGTGTGTAATGTAGCATCTAGAAATGATTACTCATACTGGCTAGCTACCATGGAACCAATGACACCTGCCATGGATCCAGTAAAAGGCAACCAAATTCGTCCATATATCAGTAGATGTGTTGTGTGTGAGACACCCACACCAGTAAGTTATTTTTAGACCTTTGGGCTTTTTTAGCTCTTGTTTAGTGACTGTGGTTGCATTAAGTGTTATTTTGCAAATTTAACACCATATTCCAATCAACTCCTTCTCCATGTCTAATGCCCATATTACATTATGCATTGTTCTCAGAGTTTAATAACAATATTTGCGACTATTGTAGGTTGTAGCTGTACACAGTCAGACTATGATAATACCAGACTGTCCTGCTGGTTGGAACAGTGTGTGGATTGGTTACAGTTTTGTAGTAGTAAGTCATCCATTATACATGTCTTCATGTAGATTGATTGTAAAGAGGTTATCTGAAAAATATTATGTGTTTCACGAACACTGATAGCATAAATTCGGACCACTCATACTTTAATTGGTTCCTGCAATAATACTAAAACTAAGTATTTAATGACGATCCATAGAGCAATCCATAAGAGCAATCAATAAGAGCAAATTACGTTTGATTGAAGACTGGAATGGTGCAAATTTATTACATCAGTGTCCCTGATACACATACAAAATTTAAAAACATCCTTATGAATAAGCCAAATCTATTTTATGATGTATATATTGTATATCACCTCTCAACTGCATTGAGTATTATCAGAAAGTCCTGATCAGTTAAAATGATGCAGTAGTCATAATTCAACACAAGGTTCCTAAATCATGACTATTTCCGGTTAATTTAATTTAAATCTTGGATCTCCCTTGTTAATTTCAGAATACAGGAGCAGGATCTGGTGGAGCTGGTCAATCCCTTGACTCTCCTGGTTCCTGTTTAGAAGATTTCAGGTCACGACCATTCATTGAATGTCATGGTCGGGGTACCTGTAATCATTACGCCACCAGCTACACCTTCTGGTTGGCAACCTTAGAGCGTCGAGAACAATTCGGAGCGCCACAAGCAGAAACAATAAAAAGCGGTGATTTGAGACGACGTATTAGTCGCTGTCAAGTGTGCCGATTAGATCGTAGAAGTAGACCTGCAAGTTTTAGATTTAACAATAATAATTTCAATGGTTTTAATTAAAAAAATTCACTTTAATTTTCAATTTATTTGGACAAAATACTGTGATCTCTTATTATTTCTTTTTTTGGTTAAAAAAAGACTGAAAAGTTCTAATTTTTAGGGATACACATCATAAATTGTGCCAAAAGTTTAAGATTTTATTTTATGTGCCTTGTAACTAGAACTCCATTATGGTGCTATGACGATTGTTTTTAAATGTTTGTTTGTGTACATTTTTTACAATTTTGCACTGAGAGCAAAGTTGTCTTTTTTTAAACTAGAAAAATTTTAATGTAGCTATTTGTATAGATTATAAATACATGTACACTTTTTACTTACATACTTTGTAATCCAATATTTTAATACTTCTCATATTCAGTGTGAACACTGCCATTTTGGCAAGGCTATGATGATTTTTAATTGTGTTTCAGTGGACTAAGATCGTTTTCATGTTTCTCATGATCATTTCCAGCAAGGAAAATTCCATGAAACATATTTTAAAAATATCATGGCCTTAACTAAAAATGTGATACAGCCAAACCCTGCCTTTGATTCTTGTTGCCTTTTAAAAAAAGTTCATTTTATTTGTAATATATATTTTTGATCCCTCCAAGTCTAATGTGCCAAATGTCTTGTAGAAGAATTGTTTTTTTTAGCAATTTAGTGCCTCTTTTTGCATTCATTTAAATTTTCATGGATGCAAGGATATTCTTGAATTGTGCAATAATCATAACTCTGTAAATTGTCCTTCAAAATCAATTTAAAATTTCAACAAAAAATAATTTATGCAAAATCAGAACAAGTAGGAGTGACTTTAGTTTTCAGTTTCAGATCAGATGAACTTTTATTTAGCCACTTCACCATTTTAAAATCTGGTAAACCTGAATTATAAATTATCTTTAAATCACATGAAACTTAAATTTGATTTGTTGCATCCTTTGTAGAATTTGGAAGATTATGTGACCATCTACAGATACTACCTGAAAATTCATATATTTGCTGAGCTCAACACTTGTTTATGATTATTTGTAATAAATATATATTGTGTCAATAAACATCATGTCACAACGATTTAATTTGTAATCGACACCACATTACTTTCAATTGAATCCTACCACTCCTGCAAGTTTTTCATCTATTTATCATATTCTTTGAAAACACTTAGGCAAGTTCATTTGTAAATAAAGGTTGTCGCTTGTCAAAAGAGAAACCATCTTATTGTCATATTGCTATCAAAAGCCTCTTTAAAATGAGGCAGACTGATTTTGATATGCTGTTTGTGTAGAGTATACTATATATACAATATACTCTTAATATCGGACTGTCAGACAGCCAAAATATCTAAAAAGTAAGCTTTGTGAATTTTCTTTAAAATAATTCAAAATGAAAATAAACTCCCTTCCAGAAATTGCACCTTGAAAAGTCCTGAAATGACTCACTTAAATTCCCCTGACATCTGTTAATTTCTAATACTTATAGCAGGAGAGCTTCTAAATCCAAGGAAGAGGGTGGTGCTGAATTATGCACGGAACAGCTCCTGCACAACTCAAACCCACTTTAAAATCAATGACACAAGGCCTGATCCCGCCAACATACGTTGCTGGGTTTAGAATGATGTGAATGGCGAGGAAATAAACGATAGAAAAACTAACATAAGTTTTAATCAAACACGCATCAACGTAGCACAAGTACAACAACATGAAAAACAAAAACCTACACACTAACAAATTTACAGGAGTTGATGGCTACAGATAAATGGTTTGATCTGGTATCTTCGGATCAATCCGATATCTAGCGGTGTAGAGGTTCCTTAGCGTGTTAGCCCATTTCTGGTAGAAGCTGCTGTATTCCGAATAGGAGTATTCTACAGGCTCGATATCTTCCGGACTCAGACTTTCCTTGGCACAACGATCTGCTTGATCATTTCCTTGGATGTAGACATGCGGTGGGATCCATGGTTTGGTAGTCGTGGATCATTCATGTTTCAGCTATGACTTCTGACCTACAATTAGATGAGTTGAGATTAGGGTGATATAAATGTGAGAAATATAAACACAACTTTTAAACCTGGCACGTGAGTTGAGAGAAATTAATTGAAGGTTGCTTAGTGAATCGGTAGAATTATGGTATGATGCAGGCACAGCCATGCTACTGCGTCCTTAATGGCTACAAGTTCTGCTGTGAATAATGAACAGTTAGCGGGATTCTGTTACCAAATGAACTTATTGGCATTTCCGTGCCTTAACAATCCAGGTACCCAGTACCTTTTACATTGCAAATACAAGTCAAATGAACTTATTGGCATTTCCGTGCCTTAACAACCCAGGTACCCAGTACCCCTTACAGTGCAAATACAAGTCAAATAATGCACTTATTGGCATTTCCATGCCTTAACAATTCAGGTACCCAGTACCTTTTACATTGCAAATACAAGTCAAAAGAACTTATTGGCATTTCCGTGCCTTAACAATTCAGGTAACCAGTACCTTTTACATTGCAAATACAAGTCAAATGAACTTATTGGCATGTCCATGCCTTAACAATTCAGGTACCCAGTACCTTTCACATTGCAAATACAAGCCAAATGAACTTATTGGCATTTCCATGCCTTAACAATTCAGGTACCCAATACCTTTTATATTGCAAATACAAGTCAAATGAACGTATTGGCATTTCTGTGACTTAACAATCCAGGTACCCAGTACCTCTTACAGTACAAATACAAGTCAAATAATGCACTTATTGGCATTTCCATGCCTTAACAATTCAGGTACCCAGTACCTTTTACATTGCAAATACAAGTCAAATGAACTTATTGGCATTTCCGTGCCTTAACAATTCAGGTACCCAGTACCTTTTACATTGCAAATACAAGTCAAATGAACTTATTGGCATTTCCGTGCCTTAACAATCCAGGTACCCAGTACCTTTTACATTGCAAATACAAGTCAAATGAACTTATTGGCATTTCCGTGCCTTAACAATTCAGGTACCCAGTACCTTTTACATTGCAAATACAAGTCAAATGAACTTATTGGCATTTCCATGCCTTAACAATTCAGGTACCCAGTACATTTTACATTGCAAATACAAGTCAAATGAACTTATTGGCATTTCCATGCCTTAACAATTCAGGTACCCAGTACCTCTTACAGTGCAAATACAAGTCAAATGAACTTATTAGCATTTCCGTGCCTTAACAATCCAGGTACCCATGCCTTAACAATTCAAGTACCCAGTACCTTTTACATTGCAAATACAAGTCAAATGAACTTATTGGCATTTCCATGCCTTAACAATTAGGTACCCAGTACCTTTTACATTGCAAATACAAGTCAAATGAACTTATTGGCATTTTCGTGCCTTAACAATCCAGGTACCCAGTACCTTTTACATTGCAAATACAAGTCAAATAATGCACTTATTGGCATTTCCATGCCTTAAAAATTCAGGTACCCAGTACATTTTACATTGCAAATACAAGTCAAATGAACTTATTGGCATTTCCGTGCCTTAACAATCCAGGTACCCAGTACCTCTAACAGTGCAAATACAAGTCAAATGAACTTATTAGCATTTCCGTGCCTTAACAATCCAGGTACCCAGTACCTTTTACATTGCAAATACAAGTCAAATGAACTTATTGGCATTTCCATGCCTTAACAATTCAGGTACCCATTACTTTTTATATTGCAAATACAAGTCAAATGAACTTATTGGCATTTCCGTGCCTTAACAATCCAGGTACCCAGTACCTCTTACAGTACAAATACAAGTCAAATAATGCACTTATTGGCATTTCCATGCCTTAACAATTCAGGTACCCAGTACCTTTTACATTGCAAATACAAGTCAAATGAACTTATTGGCATTTCCGTGCCTTAACAATCCAGATACCCAGTACCTCTTACAGTGCAAATACAAGTCAAATAATGCACTTATTGGCATTTCCATGCCTTAACAATTCAGGTACACAGTACCTTTTACATTGCAAATACAAGTCAAAAGAACTTATTGGCATTTCCGTGCCTTAACAATTCAGGTACCCAGTACCTTTTACATTGCAAATACAAGTCAAATGAACTTATTGGCATTTCCATGCCTTAACAATTCAGGTACCCAGTACCTTTTACATTGCAAATACAAGTCAAATGAACTTATTGGCATTTCCGTGCCTTAACAATCCAGGTACCCAGTACCTTTTACATTGCAAATACAAGTCAAATAATGCACTTATTGGCATTTCCATGCCTTAACAATTCAGGTACCCAGTACCTTTTACATTGCAAATACAAGTCAAATGAACTTATTGGCATTTCCATGCCTTAACAATTCAGGTACCCAGTACCTTTTATATTGCAAATACAAGTCAAATGAACTTATTGGCATTTCCGTGCCTTAACAATCCAGGTACCCAGTACCTCTTACAGTACAAATACAAGTCAAATAATGCACTTATTGGCATTTCCGTGCCTTAACAATTCAGGTACCCAGTACCTTTTACATTGCAAATACAAGTCAAATGAACTTATTGGCATTTTCGTGCCTTAACATTTCAAGTACCCTGTACCTTTTACATTGCAAATACAAGTCAAATGAACTTATTGGCATTTCCGTGCCTTAACAATTCAGGTACCCAGTACCTTTTACATTGCAAATACAAGTCAAATGAACTTATTGGCATTTCCGTGCCTTAACAATTCAGGTACCCAGTACCTTTTACATTGCAAATACAAGTCAAATGAACTTATTGGAATTTTCGTGCCTTAACAATTCAAGTACCCAGTACCTTTTACATTGCAAATACAAGTCAAATGAACTTATTGGCATTTCCGTACCTTAACAATTCAGGTACCCAGTACCTTTTACATTGCAAATACAAGTCAAATGAACTTATTCGCATTTCCGTGCCTTAACAATCCAGGTACCCAGTACCTTTTACATTGCAAATACAATTCAAATGAACTTATTGGCATTTCCGTGCCTTAACAATCCAGGTACCCATGCCTTAACAATTCAAGTACCCAGTACATTTTACATTGCAAATACAAGTCAAATGAACTTATTGGCATTTCCGTGCCGTAACAACTCAGGTACCCAGTACCTTTTACATTGCAAATACAAGTCAAATGAACTTATTCACATTTCCGTGCCTTAACAATCCAGGTACCCAGTACCCTTTACATTGCAAATACAAGTCAAATGAACTTATTGGCATGTCCATGCCTTAACAATTCAGGTACCCAGTACCTTTTACATTGCAAATACAAGTCAAATGAACTTATTGGCATTTCCATGCCTTAACAATTCAGGTACCCAGTACCTTTTATATTGCAAATACAAGTCAAATGAACTTATTGGCATTTCCGTGTCTTAACAATCCAGGTACCCAGTACCTCTTACAGTACAAATACAAGTCAAATGAACTTATTGGCATTTCCGTGCCTTAACAATTCAGGTACCCAGTACCTTTTACATTGCAAATACAAGTCAAATGAACTTATTGGCATTTTCGTGCCTTAATTCAGGTACCCAGTACCTTTTACATTGCAAATACAAGTCAAATGAACTTATTGGCATTTCCGTGCCTTAACAATCCAGATACCCAGTACCTCTTACAGTGCAAATACAAGTCAAATGAACTTATTGGCATTTCCATGCCTTAACAATTCAGGTACCCAGTACCTTTTACATTGCAAATACAAGTCAAATGAACTTATTGGCATTTCCGTGCCTTAACAACTCAGGTACCCAGTACCTTTTACATTGCAAATACAAGTCAAATGAACTTATTCACGTTTCCGTGCCTTAACAATCCAGGTACCCAGTACCTTTTACATTGCAAATACAAGTCAAATGAACTTATTGGCATGTCCATGCCTTAACAATTCAGGTACCCAGTACCTTTTACATTGCAAATACAAGTCAAATGAACTTATTGGCATTTCCGTGTCTTAACAATCCAGGTACCCAGTACCTCTTACAGTGCAAATACAAGTCAAATGAACTTATTGGCATTTCCATGCCTTAACAATTCAGGTACCCAGTACCTTTTACATTGCAAATACAAGTCAAATGAACTTATTGGCATTTCTGTGCCTTAACAATCCAGGTACCCAGTACCTTTTACATTGCAAATAGAAGTCAAAAGAACTTATTGGCATTTCCGTGCCTTAGCAATCCAGGTACCCTGTACCTTTTACATTGCAAATACAAGTCAAATGAACTTATTGGCATTGCCATGCCTTAACAATCCAGGTACACAGTACCTTTTACATACAAGTCAAATAATGCACTTAATGGCATTTATAACCATTTGAAAACCCAGTCACCCATTACCTGTACCAATTTTACACGGATATACATAAAATTGACTCTAATCACAAATAAAAATATAGAGTGCAGTGTATGTTTAAAGAAAAAAATTAATTCGTTTAAACGAAATATCATATATCGAAATTTCGTAAGTAAAAGAGGTATTTTGTCTTTAAACATTGCACAGATGTATCGTGTCGTGTGTATTAGACATAAATAAGGGCATAGCATCTAATTCTGAATACGATTGACCTCCATATGAAGTCTGTTAGAAGTCTTTTGGTAGGGCTTCTTCTACTGTTAAGTTCCTTGTGCGTGGTGTTGTCTTCAAACGTGTTGTTCACTAAGGATTTCAAGTTGGTAGAGTCCATTACAACGGTGGATTTAACTTTATCTGTTTGTGCTATAGTGATGTCTTTATTCTGACGTAGTACTTTAATGGCAGATCGTTCTTCTTTAGTGAGGTTAGGTTTGTTAATTGTTGGTCGGTTTCCTTAAAACTGTAAATATCTAGTCTAAATTGCCCCCGGGTGCTTATTGAGATAAATCATTTTCAGTGTTTTGGATGAATTGTTCAGAGTTTCTTGTGTTAGTGATGGGAATAAATTTCAGGCCTTTGGATAACAAGGAAATCTGCATTGGATAAGGCTTCATATAGTTTAGTATCTAGTTGTTGCTTGCTGCGTAGGAGGTTGGGTTTCTGGTTGTGGAACATTTGATTCTGGTCTTTAAGGAGTTTGGAGCTGACTTTGGATAATATTTTGAATGTTGAGGGTGACTGGATAGAGGTGGTGAGGGTGAAAGACTTAAGGATGATATTCTTATCTCTGCATTTTAGTAGAAAAGTCAGGTTGTTGCTAATCTTTGTATATTTCTGTGCTACCTTCTTAAGGGTATTAAAGTCTTAAAGTGTCAAGTTTTCATGGGCCTAATATTGATCACGTAAATGTTACCCACACCTTGCTAATCCAATGGTAACACTTTTAATTTCGTTTTGACATATAGAATATTTGAAATGTTCAACACAGCACTTGATTGCTCAATACAGCACTCGATTGTTCAATACAGCACTCGACTCAAGGTGTGCACGATGACAACTGACGACAGGAGACTAACTGACTGTGGAGTCTGAAGAGAGACAAGTTTAGTTTTTGTAAGTTTTAATGGCGATGAAAAGAGAGAGAGAGAGAGAGAGAGAGAGAGAGAGAGAGAGAGAGAGAGAGAGAGAGATTCCTACGCTACATTACATACAGATGTTTCATATAAGCAAAATGTAAAGAACTACATACAACCTTATTATTGTACACAACTTAATAAAGATTTTATAAACAACCAAGTGTTTTTCTATTTTAGTTATAGATTTGACGAATCTTAACGAATTCAAGAGACGAAATGGTCGCACTTTCCCCTACAAGGATTCCATGACCTTTGACCTCTGGATATTTCTTGCACACAACTATAAAATTTGAGACTTTATCTCGACTAACAAGTTATCAAAGATTTAGAATACATAATCTCTTAATTAAAGCATCATGAAGCAAGTAAAATCAAATTAGGATACAACATATTTCAAATGTCGATTAGGCCTAGAACACGCGACCTTGCGCCCATGTTTCTAGAAAGTTCCCGCCATTAAACGAGCAGTACTCGCTAATAAAATAGACATTTACGACTTTTATAGCATTTGAGAACATACATCAAGGTTACACTTAGATTCCTGGTGCTTTCGCACACACAAATATCCCTAAAATTCATATGAATTAATATAGATTTATATGTAAAATGTACCTGAAGAGAGACAAGTTTAGTTTTTGTAAGTTTTAATGGCGACGAAATGACAGAGAGGGTTTCCTACGCGAGGAACTTAATCACTCTAAAATCACCAGACCAATTTCTTTGCTTATAAAACTAGATTTATCTCCCTTGATTTTGTTTTGGGTAGTCACTATGCACATAATTAATAACAAACCTTATCAATATATATAAAGATACAATGATTGGATAATAATATCAAAATTATCCCTTACCCTTTAAGTTAATAACACACTTTAACTAAAAATTAAAGTTCTAGTTCAGGTTTTTCAAATTAATTAAATTATTATAACTAAATGTTATTCAATACACTTCCTGTGATTACAATATTAATATCAACATATCAATTTACACAAAACTCAGTCCTAACAGTCCTGACACAATTACATCACAAAATCATCAAAACGTTTTGGCTTAGCCCTGTCACGTGATTGTCTGGTATTTTGAACTGGTTTTGCAGGAGTTGATTCACATTGATTCTTCTGACTCTTCATCGGAGTATCTGATGTTCTCTGAGTCTTAGCTACAACTACTGGTTCTGATATTTCTATCATCTTGTTAATCGATATCCATGGACTGACCTAATGCTTGATCTCGAACAAGAGTTTCTGATGTACCACGATCAAATCTTGGCTTGATATGATCTTTATGACGCCTGACTATTGTATCATCATTCAGTCTCACATGAACATCAGTAATTGATTCACCAACAACTCTTCCAGGAACCCAATTTGGTTGCTTGCCAAAATTTGAAACATAAATGTCATCATTCACTTTGATGTTTTTCAATTTAGTTTTTTGATCATATATCTAAATTTTTGTTGTTCCTGTCTCTCCCTTATCCGTTTAGAAGGATTCGGATACTGCAGACCAGTCAAGACTGAACGTAGTTTACGATTATTAAGAGTTCTGAAAGTGTTAATCCGGTTGTAGTTTGAGGTGTAATTCTATAATGAAATAGAACATGTGATAAATCCGCAGATTTCTTTAATCCATTCTTGATAATCTGTACCGCCCGCTCTGCTAATCCATTTGATATCCAAATGATATACGGTGACGATGTAATATGATCTATACCATGTTTACGTAAAAATGTTTTAAATTCTTCACTAGTAAAACATGTCCCATTATCACTAACTATAGTTTCTGTTTAGAATAATTCTTCTCTGTATTACTAAGAGAACGAGATGCAAACGATATCGGTCGTTCATGTCCATCACAATTATGAACCAATACTGCTCCTACTACATACGGACTTGCATCACAAGTAATGACTATGTCTTTCTCACGATCATAATGAGTCAATATTTACGCAGATAATAACAGTTGCTTAGATTTATCGAACGCTGTTTGTTGAGCTTTACCCCAAATCCATGGTTTCCTTTTCTCTAGAAGTATAGGTAATGGAGCTAATACAGTTGCATTATCAGGTAAATATTTGTGATAAAAGTTCAACATTCCAAGATATGATTGAAGTTGCAGCTGAACATCTTTTGAAGCTGGAGCCTCTAACATTGGTTGAATGCCACTCGCAGATATCCTTTGACCACAATACTCCACAATAAACGCATACCATAAACGCACATTTGTCCTTAATGAGTCTGAGACCTGAATGTTCCAATTGTTGTAGAACAGAGTCTAACACTTCTAAGTGATGAATGTTATTTCAACCTGAGACTAATATATCGTCCACTCTAACTATCACATTGTCTAAACCCTGAAGTACATTTTCCATAGTTCTCTGGAATATACCAGGAGCACCAGACACTCCATATGGTAGCCTATTATACATATATAGTCAATTTATGTGCGTGTTTCCATGACTCATCATCTAGTTCTATTTGTTGATCTGCTTGGGACAAGTCTAACTTTGAAAATACTTTCCCAGCACCTAATACAGCTAATAAATCCTCAGTTTTTGGAATTTAATAATTGTCAAGCTTCGATACTTTATCCACAGTTACTTTATAGTCTCCGCAGATTCTAATTGACTTATTTTGTTTTTTACTAATGGCACTATCGGTGCTGCTCATTTCGCAAAATGAACTTTCGACACAATGCCTTCACTTTCAAGCCGATTCAGTTCTTCTTCAATCTTACTTACGGTACTAGTCTTGCTTTGTAGTAAAATGGCGTTGCATCTTTATCCGCATAGATCTTAGCTTTCGTACCAACCAATGTTCCTAAACCTGGTTTAAAAACTTCACCATGCTTTTCTAAAACTAAGTCCAATCCACACTCTTTAAAGGAATTAATGATAATTGAAACGTCTGTAGCCTAATACCTTGGGGTAGTGGGGCCAAAGAGAAAATATAAATGATCTGACAGACATTGAAAAAAAAATAGCTCATTGGCTAACTCCATTTGAACATAGAACTGTATATGGACATTCCAATTTTATGCAATCTGGCAACACTGTATCAGAAATAGGGGGCGTTTTACGTTGGTTTCCGGTTATCGATGTGGACGATATTTCATTATTTACATAAAATAAGCAGATTTTCAATATGATTCACAGTTTATTTGTGATAAATAACACTGGGTAATTATGTCTTAATAACTTTTATATCATCGTAATTTTTTTTATTTCTTTGTTTGGCCTGAAAAATTATGTTTATCTTGATCTTGCACACTTTCCTTGTTTACTACCTTTGAGTTAGTGAAAATGTTGAAGACTGAAAAAAATATTACAGTCGAATAACCTAATTTAGTGCTAACCTACTTTTCGTGCATCTCCGAAAATAATTAATAATTTATATGTGCGACCTTGCATGACCTCCGCATTTGCTTGTTTTGCTAAACATGGGTTATCTCTACAATGAATGAATCCAGTTGTTTCAAGCAAGGTAGAATGTATTAGGAGCTCCATTTGGTAAGCTGGCGATTCAAAATAGTTGAAAATAATTTAGCAAATATATAGATAACACAAATTCTGCAATAATTATCGATCACTTTAGGGTCAACATTCTTTGGCACTGAAACAATAATACTACTACACCAAATTTCCAGATAGCATCCTGATTCGAAAATTATATTGAAAACCTTATGAAGAAACGGAAGTAAGATGTCCGAATTTTCAGTGAAAGATTCATTACAAATTTGATCTGGACCGCAACTTTTATCATACTTAAGTTTTCGAATAGCAAACAAAACCTCATCAGTGCTTATTTCGACACGGTTGAGGTTACAATTAACCGAAAGTACATAAACCAGCAAATAGTAAATATACAAACAAATAAACATAATATTATGCAAGATTTATACCAAATTGTGTCCTACCAAGTCAAATAATAAAACAGATAAACAAACTGCAGGAATAAAGTTCTAAAAGTCACACAATGAAATAAGCGTGATATGTCACTATTATTTGGGCACAAGAAAGGTAAATTTTGTTTGACTTACTCTAGTCTTTGATGTTACCGGGACAATGGGTTTATTTCTTTTGGGGTTTTTGTAGGAATCCTACAATTTTCATCGGATTTGACTTAGTAAAAAGGCATCAAAATTTGTTAGTGAGCACAATACAGACTACAGTTCATTCGATTTTCATGAAATTTGGTATGATGATTTATATTGATGAGATCTTGGACAATTTTGAATTTGACCATCTTTTTATGAACGTTTTTTGATTTATTGCCCTTGACTTAGGAGACACGTTTCATTATTTGTTTGAGAACACAATAGAGACAACTACAATTTTCATCCGATTTAAATGAAAGTGATCATTAATATGATGAAAGCTTGGACGAGTTCAAATTTGTCGATTTTTTGATCAATGTAATTTGATTTATTGCCCTTGACTTAAAAACGCATCAAAATTTGTTGGCTTGTGAACGCAATAGAGATGACAGTTTATGCCAGAATTCTATGAAATTTCTTGCAAAAAATTAAATTTTTGGCACGACTTGATGCAGATTGGTGACTGCCCTCGATATACTAAAAATGTAGCAGGGCACTGATATTTCCCTTTTTTCCAGTCATTAAGCCTACTATAATGAAATCATGTTTTAAAACAAATACTAAGAAAAGATTATTATGTTAATCTCATCAATGGGCTTCCGTGCAACTTTTTTCTCAAGACTACTTTGTAGATCAGCCTTTTCTAAGATTATGTGGCATCTGCAATATAACCTGAGTCAGGATGTAAATTTGTACCCACTACCACTAATATTTTATCTAATTCTAACAAGATAAAAAAAAAAGCATCCAAAAAGAATATATTTTCCCTGTCTTACTTGATTTCTTGTAATTTGTTTCTAGTGATGTGTTTATGGAGAAACACTGGAAAAGTGTCATCAATAAATCAATATGTGATTATTTCTTTGAGGCACAAGGAAAGGTAAGGTCTTTAAATTTCTTTCTGAGCGTGAATCTTGTCTTTTAGTATCAGCTGATCGTCTTAGCCATGAACTGTCGACAATTTCAACTGCATTAATATGATGACAAATTGACTTAGGTTAGATTTATGTTGAATTGAATACAATTAGCTAGTATATCTGAGCTCCAAAATGTCTTATTGTAATAAAAAGTTGTAAAATTATTGTCTCATTAAAGTAAATAGTTTTTATTTGACCACATGGAAATGTGGTATGCATGTTTATATTGTTTCAGAGTTATCGTAAAATTTGGTTTGTATGCATGCTTAAGGCTAAAATTTGTATGCTATCTTGATGAAACTTGGTATGCATGTATATATTGATGAGATCTCAGTCCAGTTCGAAATTGGTAATAATCTGATGAACGGTTTCAGAGTTATTGCTCTTGACTTAGTAAAAATGCGTTAAATTTGGTTTGTATGCATGCTAAATGCTAAAATTTGTATGCTGTTTTGATGAAACTTGGTATGCATGTATATACTGATGAGATCTCAGTCAAGTTTGAAATTGGTAATAATCTGATGAACAATTTCAGAGTTATTGTCCTTGACTTAGTAAAAACGTGTTAAATTTGGCTTGTAGACACTCTATAGACTACAGTTTTTATCCGATCTTGATGAAACTTAGTATGTATGTATATATTGGTGAGATCTTGGTCAAGTTCAAAATTGGTAATAATCGGATGAATGGTTTCAGAGTTATTGCACTTGACTTAGTAAAAACGTGTTAAATTTGGCTTGTAGACACTCTATAGACTACAGTTTTTATCCGATCTTGATGAAACTTAGTATGTATGTATATATTGGTGAGATCTTGGTCAAGTTCAAAATTGGTAATAATCGGATGAATGGTTTCAGAGTTATTGCACTTGACTTAGTAAAAACGTGTTAAATTTGGCTTGTAGACACTCTATAGACTACAGTTTTTATCCGATCTTGATGAAACTTAGTATGTATGTATATATTGATGAGATCTCAGTCAAGTTTGAAATTGGTAATAATCGGATGAATGGTTTCAGAGTTATTGCACTTGACTTAGTAAAAACACCTTAAATTTGGTTTGTAGGTACTCTATAGACTACAGTTTTTATCTGATCTACATGAAACTTGAAAATATATGTAGATCACGGTCAAGTTTGAATTTGGTCTTAATCGAATGAATGGTTGTGGAGTTACTGCCTTTGACTTTTGAGTTATAGCCCTTGAATTAGATCAATGCGTCTATTTTGGCTTGTAGACACAATAGAGGCTTCATGGTTTATCTGATCACAATGAAACTTGGTATGCATGTATAGATGGACTAAAACCACTACAGACTTTATCATTTCTGACAGCTGGTAGTTTGCATATGTTACCTTGCCTGGCAGCTATATTTAACTTTTTTTTTTTCATTTTTATGAATTATTGTAATCACCCTGTCGGTCTGTCCATTTACAATTGGTTCGTGCTCACTCTACAGGCAACAATTCATTATTGGATTATTTTGATTTTGTGTGTTAATGTCATTATGAAGATGATCTCTATCGATTTTCGTGATGATCGGATAATTTTTCACCGAAATATCGTGCTGGTGGGCATATGTCATTTTTCTTCGCAAGGCTATCTTTTATATGAGATTTTGAATCACAGTTTTAGAATCTATTTGTGTTGATAAAATTTAAGTACATAAGTACACATATCTTCAAAATTTGTTTTTACAGAGGACAATTTTCAATCAAAATTTTCTTTTTAATGTAAACTGACTAACAGTACTATTTTTAGGCTAATATTCCAATTCTCATAAAAATATAGAAAAACACTCAAAAAATGTTTTCCTTTGCTCAGAAAATTGTTTTAATACCTTTATATTTCTAGGCCACAAATCCAGAAGATGTCTGCCCCGTCATCAATACTCCACATCATTATCTCATTAATATCTATAGAAATAATTTATATTTTGTTGCTGTGGTAACCACAGAAGGTATGTAGTTTTAATTTTCATACGCCCACATGAAATATTGCCGTCACCCATTTTGGTCCGTCCGCCCGTCGTTCGGAAGGATGAAGCCTATTGAAAATCAGAAGAATCGAAAAATATTTAGTATAAGTTATTGCCCTTGTTCAATTTTTTGCTCGTAAGCACTCTAGTAGGGACAATTCCTCACGGATTTTGACGAAACTTGGCATGAGTATTTGTAACCTGCCAAGGATAAACCCTCTTGAAAATCAGAAGAATCGAAAAATATTTAGTATGAGTTACTGCCCCTCTTCTTCAGAACGGGTTTTTAGCTCTTAAACACTCTAGAAGTTACAATTCTTGACAGATTTTGACAAAACTTGGCATGAGTGTTTGTTATCACCTAAGGATATAAACCCAATTGAAAATCAGAAAGATCTAAAAATATTTAGTATGAGTTATTGCCCCTGTTCTTGAGAACACTTTCAATTTTTAGCTCGTACACACTTTAGAAGGCACAATTCTTTACAGATTTTGACGCAATTTGGTGTTTGTGTTAACACCCAAGGATGAATCCTGTCAAAAATAAAAAAATCAGTCCGTCTATCCGTCCGATCTTCATGAAACGTGGTATGCATGTATATATATGTGAGATCTCAGTCAAGGTCTAAATTATTATTAATCGGATGAATGGTTTCGGAGTTATTGCCCTTGACTTAGTATAAACGCCTAAAATTTCGATGTAGGCACGATACAGTTTTTATCCAACCTAGATGAAACTAGGTATGCATGCATATTTTATGAGATCTCAGTCGAGTTCGTAATTGGTAACAATCGGATGAAAGGTTTCAGAGTTATTGCCCGTGGCTAAGTAAAAACTTGTCAAATTCGGCTCACGGTCACGATAGAGACTACAGTTTTTATCCAATCTTGATGAAACTTTGTATGCATGTATATATTAATGAGATCTCGGTCAAGTTAGAAATTGGTAATAATCAGATCAACAGTTACAGAGTTATTGCTCTTGTGTGAACAGCGATGAGATATTGTTTATGTTCGAATTTGATGATAACTTGATGAACTGTTTTGCCTTGACTTATAGATGATTTTAAGATTATTTGATAATTCATTATTAAACACCTAAAGATTTTGTTATCATTTCTGACAGCTGGTAGTGGGCGTATGTTACCTTGCCTGGCAAGCTACCTTTGTCTGTAACTCAATATCCTGCATAATATATTAATGTATTGTGGCATGATATTTGACTACTATTTCTTATAAAATAATTTTCAGTGCCCCCTTTGTTTGTCCTGGAATTTTTACATCGTATTTGTGATACATTTGAAGATTATTTTAATGAGTGTAATGAATCTACATTGAAAGAACATTATGTTATTGTGTATGAGGTAAGATTTTTATTGTTTACTTTTGTTAAGGTGCTCAAATCCATTAGATTTGCACATTTTTTTTTTAAATAAACACATTTCATTCATATTTTCAAAATTAAACTATTAAGCTGTATTTGTTACTTATGGGAAGTTAGAAGTTTCTTTCTAGCTAGGAAGATGTAATTACCTTTTGATTCATATCTGGTACACATTTGACAAATCAGACACATGCACTCTAGAGAGAAATATACTTTATTTGCATAAAAAATTATATCACATATTATGTTCATTATATAATTCAGATTGGTTGCCCAACATTGACATGTCACAACTTGTCCTATAACATCATAAGTCGTGAACTCCATATGATTTTAGCAACCTGAGTTCCCCAGTAGAAACATGACTTCTGAACACAAGTTTGAAGTTATGAATACAATTTACCATTTTGGACATTGTACTTTCAATATTTCTGAGAGTAACAAATACAGTTACTCATACAGTATGCCTTAATTCCATTTGGAAATTCTATCTGTCTTGATGTTGTCTCCCAAAACACATGTCTACAGAGTGTATTTTAGTAGATACTTGACTTGAATTTGTAGAAGAAAGTATATTATATACTGAATATTGATGGGTTTGTTATAGCCAATGATATATAGTCAATTCAGAGTATTACTTATCATAAGGAAAATATATGTGTGTGGTTTAGTGCTCTGTTCATCTGATTGGCCTATTATTAAATACGTTTCATGTTTTAGATATTAGATGAGATGTTAGACAATGGTTTCCCTCTGGCTGTAGAATCTAATGTATTAAAAGAATTAATAAAACCACCAAATTTCCTACGTACAATAACAGACACTGTCACTGGCAAATCTACAGGGTAAGTCTGTTTTACTGATAAAATTTTTATTTAGTGAACTTCTACAGTACAATCAGTTGGTTCTTTACTATCAAGACGTCATTTGTTCTCACTTGACGTCATCTTCATTTCTAAATCCATTTGACCCAGCTGTAAATATGTATGGATAATCTAGGAAAGATCAGTGCCATGAGGTTTGAACAAGGACTAGCTGGTAAAAATGTTTCTTTCTTGTTTTGTAGTCTGTAGAATGAATAATTGAAGTAAGTAGCTTTATTGACATACTTTATGAAATGATATTTATTTGTGTTTTTAGAGTGAGTGGTATTTTACCAACCGGTCAGCTTTCTAATATACCCTGGAGAAGAACAGGAGTTAAATATGCTAATAATGAAGCGTATTTTGATATTATTGAAGAAATAGATGCTATAATAGATAAATCAGGTACCACTGTTACAGCAGAAACACAGGGTTATGTAAGTAATAATTATAGAAATTTAAAGGGATAGATAGGCCATTTTTTGACCAATCATACTTAAATCTGAGAAACTGGAATTTTTTAGCTGATCTAATCAGTTACTGTTTTCACAGCTCACCATCAAAATTTGAGCCTTCAAATCCATTTGTGTCTAGAATTATCTGTGTTTAAATGTTAAATGTCATCAATTTAATATACTCTGTGATATATAGAAAAGACATATATAGAAATAGTGAGTAAAATTCCTAGTCTGAAATATTTTTTTAGGAATTTTGTTATTTTCGTACATTTCTAGTACTTCTGAAAACTATTTACATATATTCAAGTCTAAAATCAACCCCCCAAAATGCCATACCTGTCCCTTTAAAAGTGTGAAAATTCCATAAATAAAGAGAAATCCTTTCTCCCAGAGTTCAGCAATTTCAAAACTATTTTCAAAATAGATTGTATAGCGTAAAACTCCATATTTTATGATTTTCAAAATGAAATTTGCTTTTCAATGTTTATATTCAAAGATAATTGCTATTTAAGCCCCTGTATGCATGTCTACTTATATTTTATTTAAAACTCATGTCTAGCTTTTCAAAAAGTTGTATGTAACATTGTTCACCATAATATCATATGAGAACATCTGTATTTCTTAGATTGATTGTCTTATTAAATTGTCTGGTATGCCTGATTTGTCCTTGACCTTTGTGAATGCCCGTCTGTTAGATGATGTCAGTTTTCATCCTTGTGTCAGATTTAAAAGATGGGAGGTAAGCATAGCTTATATCATCCTTAAAAAAAACAAATAGGATGAGTCATTTCATCATTTGATACCAAAAGTATACAATACAATATTCAAACGCACGCTCATGGTATCACTACCACTCATGGTATCACTACGCTAAGCCCCTCATGCAATATTGATAACCTATAGTCATGTGTGCGGTTTGACTTTCATTACATACTATTTCGTTTACTGTTTTGATTGGAGTACTAACTATAAAGTACCACACCCATTGTGCAATAAGACAGCATTTAAATGGTCTGTCAATTTGACCTACGTTGTGTACTTCGCTGTGGGATTTCCCCTGGAATGTGATGTTTACAAATATAAGATGACATCATAGGGAGTTCCCTATAGCCTACTCTGCAACTTGAAAACGTCACTTGATTTGCTTAATTAATTGTGGAAAAAGGTAATAACGGTACTGTTTGTGGAAATTATAGCCCATGGAACAGGTTTCAAAATATGGTTTAATGGTAATTCATTGTCATATGCGCTATCATAAGCTGACACTGAAGCTTTGAATTCTCTGAGATCTTAAAAACAAAAATGGCGACTCAATCATTCGAGTAGAGTAGATAAAAGTAGTTCCACCGTATTCAACTTATGTGTGATATGGATTTATTTATTACATGAGCCTGATATTAGACATGTATGTAATACATTTTTGAAAATAAGAGACTTAGATGGGTGTCAAATTAAGCAAACTATTTGATTCTACTGATAATTCTCTTCTATATGAATTAGTTAAGGACATGTGAGACAAACTGGTATTTTCAAAGTCTTTGGAATACCTCTACTTTCTATCCATATAAGTATTTTCATTTTCATAAATGAAAATAAGGGAGGGAACCCATCTTTAATCCTGCAGTTTATGCTATTCAAAAAAGTATTCTTTCAATGTTATTAAATTTTTGAAAAGAAAAAATGCATATTATTTGGAGCGGTCATGGGTTTGTTTGTAGTTTGTATCTTGTATATGGGAAAGATATGTTGATTTGACAAAGTATCAATGCTAAATTGACTTCCTGGCCATTCAATAAGGAAAAGTCTTGAAAATACATTCAAACTATGCCCTTTTCATTTCAGAATGAAAAGATTTTGTCCTTTGTACCACCAGATGGTCATTTTCGTCTCATGTCTTATCATATAGGTGCTCAAAAGTAAGTAACATTCCCATTCTTATTAGAAAGATGTATTAAGAATGTTTATAACAGTAAATGTCAGATTATGAAAAGTAAACAATGTCAGATTATGAAAAGTAAACAATGTCAGATTATGAAAAGTAAACAATGTCAGATTATTAAAAGTAAACAATGTCAGATTATGAAAGTAAACAATGTCAGATTATTAAAAGTAAACAATGTCAGATTATTAACAAAATGTAGATGTATATTGCTGTCGCCCCTGTCCGTTGGTCCGTTCACATTTCTTATAGGCACGATAGAAGCTACAGTTTTAATCAGTACTTGGTATGTATGTATATATTGATGAGATCTCAGTCAAGTTCGAATTTGGTAACATTGGAATGAATGGTTTTGGAGTAATTGCCCACACACGTCAGATTTGGTTTGTAGTCAGGATAGAGACTATAGTTTTTATCTGGTCTTGATATAACTTGGTATTCGTGGATATATTGATGAGATCTCAGCCAAGTTAGAAATTGGTAATAATCAGAGTTATTGCTCTTGACTTAGTAAACCGTTAAAAATTAGCTTATAGACACGATATAGACAACAGTTTTTATCTGATCTTGATGAAACTTGGTATGCATTTATATATTTATTAGATCTCGGTCAAGATCAAAATTGTTAATAATGGAATGAATAGTTTCAGAGTTATTGCTCTTGATGATGAGACCATGTTCAGTTCATGTTTGAGGTTTTGCTTTGGCTTCTAAATATTTTTTAGGATTATTTGAAAATTCATTATAAAGACACTAAAAGCTTAATTATCATTTCTGTCAGATAGGCTAGTGGACGTATGTTACCTTGCCTGGCAAGCTATCTTTTTAAGTATGTGTCACAATAATTATGTACATTATGTGTAAAGACTGTGTTTGTTGCTGTCTTGGCAATCTAATTATTTGAGCATATCATTGCTCATATAATAAGCAAAATCAGGATTACAGGAGTACATTTGATTCATTTGAATAGAAATTATAGTAGTAAATCAAGAGATTTGATTTAAATTTTTGCAAGTTTTTCTCAGTTTTGGAAATAAGTAACTAATATTGGAAATATATGATTATAAATTTGATTTCTATTTCAGTATGGTAGCTATACCAGTATATTTACGTCACACTATAAACTATAGAGAAGGTAGTGGTGGAAGGTTTGATGTTACTGTAGGTCCTAAACAGACAATGGGAAAAACAGTGAGTAGACATGATACTGATACAGATTGATTTCCAAGGGATTTTTGGTGATTCAAGTGCAAATTAAAAATCTGCTTAATGAAGTTTACATATTCAGGATGTTGTAAAAGCAGCCTATTTTTGTGAGATTTATCTAACTGTTTAACAGCTATGTATTATGTAGGCAGGCATATCATGCTAGAAACAAACTTCTGGTTATTGTTATATATTGCCAACTAGCCCATTTGGATCAGATGAATGCATACAGTTTCCCTTCAACATGTCATGGCTTCAAAATAAAATTATTTGAAAATATATTTGTTATTTTTAGGTAGAAAATGTGATATTAGAAGTCCCCTTTCCTAAAAATGTTTTAAATGTTACTCTGACACCTAATCAAGGAAAATACAGTTTTGATCCTGTGTCTAAATTTATGACGTGGGATGTAGGAAAGATTGACACTACCAAATTACCCAATATCAGAGGAAATGTAAGTTATATTCCTCATGAAATATGGACATTGATTCTAAACAATACCATGGTCGCACTAGTTTGCAGTTCTAAACAGATTCTGAACAACAATTCTTGACAGATTTTGATGAAACTTGGTGTTAGGGTGTATTGAGATGAGTCTCAATGAAAGCACTGGTCTAGGTCACAGAGCAATAGATAAGTATTTAGATTGTATTTAGGTGGGCAAAGCCACCCTACAGTAATAAACAAAACAAAACTAATCAGTGATTATTCTATAATTATTCTATTTTAGATATCTTTACAGACTGGATCTCCTATCCCTGATTCTAACCCTGTTATAAATGTAAGTTTTCACTTTGTATTCAAGATCTGTTGTCAGCATCCTGTAGGTAAGCCTTATAAAACTGACCATAGTCCCTAAACTGATATATGGATGTGATATTGCCACGGGTAATGACTTCATTCTGAATTTTTGAATCATAAGTTCTTGAGAATTTTTAACATTAAATATTACTTACAGAATTGTATGAAGTAGGTTACTGTAATGATGGGCACAGAGACAAGAATATCTGCTTATGTCTCGATGGACCCATTATAGTTCAGCTTTACATAGATACCAAAACTTATGCCATATTGGAAAACTAGCGATTAAAAAATGGCTTAGAAATAAACCCCCATAAAATGCAATATAAGATATCTAGCTCTAACTGGGACAATATCACACCGTGATGAGTAAACAGGCAGGGCCAGACATGTAAGGTTACCTGAAATTTTGTGTCATATAAATATGTCATCAAGATAGAAATTTTTCACATCAGGATGTTAGAATGAGTGAATATATTTTAAGTACATCATTTGAATCCACTGAAATGAATTTCTTTTGCTAAGAGTCCCATGTTATTCATGAGATTTTCCCAATTATTTTTAGGTGCAATTTACAATAAGTCAGATGGCTGTATCTGGTATTAAAGTGAATAGATTAGATATGTATGGGGAGGTAAGGATATTTTTTATCACACAACAGTACCAGTACGCAGGTTCATAACACAGGTTGTGAAAAATAATATGAACTCAATAATTATGCATATTATGTGATCATGTATTCATGCACCACGTACTTACTTAATAGGCGCAAGGACATTTTGCAGTAAGGTGTAACAAGTGGTTACGTCCACTTCTCTGATACATTTTCAGTATATCAAAGGCGGTTGCCAATCTGTGTCAAATCGTGTCAAAAATGTAATCTGTACAAGACATTGTTGATCTAATCAAACACACAAAATTTCATAGAATTCTGACATAAACTGCCAACAAATTCTGATGCATTTTTACTAATTCAAGGGCAATAACTGAAAGACTGTTCATCGAAAGATCGTCAAATTCGAACTTGTCCAAGACCTCATCAATATAAATCATCACATCAAATTTCATTTAAATCGGAGGAAAACTGTATTCTGTATTGTTTCTCAAACAAAATTTGACATGTTTTTCCACAGTCAAGGGCAATAACTCATTAAGCAATTAATTGTCTTGTTTTGGAAAATACTCAACTTCCATGAGCTAAACGCTAAAACATTACTCTGCAGTTCCTACAAAAAATTTGCATAAGTGTAAGGGTGTGTTGCTTGGTCAATCTGACGATTTTTCCATGGACTACAGTTTGGTATGATCATCCGGAACTATGAGGTAGTGGTCAAGTTTGCAGTTGATGATCTTTTGATGAACAGAATTTGAGTTATTGCACTTGACGAATTTTGAAAATCAGAAAAATCAGAAAAATCGAAAAATATTTGGTATGAGTTATTGCCCTTGTTCTTGAAAAGGCGTTCAATTTTTAGCTCGTAAACACTCTAGAAGGCACAATTCTTGACGGATTTTAATGAAACTCTGTGTGAGTGTTCGTAATCACCCAAGGATGAACCCTATTGAAAATCAGAAGAATTGAAAAATATTGAGTGTGAGTTATTGCCCTTGTTCCTGAAAACGCGTTCAATTTTTAGCTCGTAAACACACTAGAAGGGACAATTCTTGATGGATTTTGACGAAACTTGGCATGAGTGTTTGTTATCATCCAAGGATAAACCCTATTGAAAATCAGAAAAATTGAAATATATTTGGTATGAGTTATTGCCCTTGTTCTTGAAAATGTGTTTAATTTGTAGCTTGTAAAGATGGATTTTGACGAAACTTGGCACGAGTGTTTGTTATCATATACGGTTAAACCCTATTGAAAATCAGAAAAATTTAAAAATATTTGGTATGAGCTATTGCCCTTATTCTTGAAAACGCGTTCAATTTCTAGCTTGTAAACATTCTAGAAGGCTCAATTATTGACAGATTTTGACGAAACTTGGTTTTATTATTCAGTACCGAGCCGAAGATTGGGTATTTGCCTTCTCTAGAGTTTTCACGTGCTCTTGAAACGTGTTGGATTTTAGGACTACCCTGTTTCATGTGGATGTTAAAAAAGATTGTTTTAAATTTCAGAAATACAAGCCATTTAAAGGTGTTAAATATATAACCAGAGCTGGGAAGTTTCAAGTGCGGACTTAGAAATTATATATTTTGTGTCGAAAAAAAACACCTGATATGACTTTTATGTATTAAATATAAACATGCTCTTGAATATTTCTATTGACAACTTAAAGTGTGTCATTGCAATTCATAAGATGGAGACATAATACCTTAAACACGATGCTCTACAATGGCTTAAAACATTAAATCCAGATCTAGTTTTTATTTTATGGGGTGACTTAACTTGCCATCCAGGAACAGATTTAACTCTTCTTGCATTTTATGATGTCAATATTTTCAAATATAGCTTGTAAGTTCCTGCAAATTCACTTGAACACAGAAATTTATTTAATAATATGTTATGTTTGAATGTATGTTATGTTAATGGTTAATTTGTAAAGTATTATGTAACTTGTATATTAAATAGTAAATATATTGATTTGTTCCCCTTAATCATTGGCATTTGAAGATACAGATCACTACTTACTCAACTGCCCCATACATTTAGATGCACGAAACCAAACTTTATTCCTCTTACCTTTTTATTACCTCAATGTACAAAACCTATTGTATGGAACAGACACCAACCTGACCTCTTTTTTGATTTTTGAAAAAATTCATGATTTTATAACGGAACGGAACAAGAATAAATCAAGATCATTAATTCCCTTTTCTCTCACCTAACATCAAACACTCGCATAAAACATGCCGTGACTGTAATAAGGTCTACTGTTAGGGCCTCGGCCTACATCAGATCGAAATTAGCAACCGGCCGCGGTGCGTAACCCCATGTGGCAGGATGAAAACAACAACGGGAACAGACATTTCAGCTAGGATAATGCCTACCAACGAAATAGAATACACTCTATTGCACGCACCGCATGTGCGTTCCAGGGTAGAATACTAGTTTATGCCCCCTATTGCAAATCGAGGAAAGTCCATGTACATGTACGTCTTATGCGTTTGATAATACCCCTAATAGAAAATGTCATATAGGTCATGATTAGCTCAAGCTGCCTTTAGTTTAGGGGAATAGGGCTACCGTTCATAATCTTCGCTACCAGTATCATGTCGTTGAAGACGACTTTTTATACGCCCACATGAAATGGGGGGCGTATATTGCCGTAACCCATGTCCGTCCGTCCGTCCACAATTGCTCGTAAACACACTACAATACACAATTCTTGACGGATTTTGACAAAACTTGGTATGAGTGTTCGTAATCACCCAAGGATGAACCCTATTGAAAATCAGAAGAAGCGAAAAATATTTAGTTTGAGTTATTGCCCTTGTTCTTGAAAACGAGTTCAATTTTTAGATCGTAAACACTCTAGAAGGTACAATTCTTGGTGGATTTTGACGAAACTTGACATGAGTGTTCGTAATCACCCAAGGATGAACCCTATTGAAAATCAGAAGAATCGAAAAATATTTAGTATGAGTTATTGCCCTTGTTCTTGAAAAGGCGTTCAATTTTTAGATCGTAAACACTCTAGAAGGTACAATTCTTTGTGGATTTTGACGAAACTTGACATGAGTGTTTTTTATCAACCAAGGATAAACCCTATTGAAAATCAGAAAAATCGAAAAATATTTAGAATGAGCTATTACCCTTGTTCTTGAAAACGCGTTCAATTTTTAGCTCGTAAACACTCTAGAAGGCACAATTCTTGACGGATTTTGACGAAACTTGATGTGAGTGTTCGTAATCACCCAAGGATGAACCCTATTGAAAATCAGAAGAATCGAAAAATATTTAGAATGAGTTATTGCCCTTGTTCTTGAAAACGCGTTCAATTTTTAGCTCGTAAACACTCTAGAAGGTACAATTCTTGGTGAATTTTGACGAAACTTGGCCTGAGTGTTTGTTATAACCCAAGGATAAACCCTATTGAAAACCAGAAAAATCGAAAAATAATTATTATGTGTTATTGCCCTTGCTATTGAAAAAGCGTTCAATTTTTAGCTCGTAATCACTCTTGATGAAACTTGGTGTGAATGTTTGTAATCACCCAAGGATGAACCCTATTGAAAATCAGAAGAATTGAAAAATATAGCTTTTGACAAAACTTGGTTTTATTATTCAGTCCTGCACTGAAGATTTGCTTTCTAGAGTTTTCACGAGCTAAAAATTTAACAGTTTTTCAAGAACAAGGGCAATAACTCATACTCAATATTATTCAGTATTTCAGAGTTCAAAAGAAGTGTATGACTGAAGGTTGAATATTTCATACTGGTGATTGTTACTGTACTGCTAAATATCTTTATTCAAAATCAAAGCTGCCAGTGGGCGTATATTACCTTGCCTGGCAAGCTATCTTGATATCTTTGAGAAAAGAAACTAAAAAAAAAGTACTACTCATGTCAAAAAATGGTTTTCGTGATAAAGAACAGATTAATTTCAGTTCAAGCTTCTTTAAGAAAGGTGCTAGATTACTTTACGGGGTTGTTTTATAGCAATGCTGGTTATAGTGCCATTAAAACTGCTCGATAATCCCTCTCTGCTCTTGGATTAACTTTTAAGGGTTTCTGTTGGGTGTCATCCCTTAGTGACAAGATTTTTAAGAGGGATTTATAATCTTAGACCTAGTTTACCCCTTTATGTTGAAGTTGAGTTAAATGTTTTCCGCAATATGTCTCCTGTTAAGGACATTTCATTAAAAGATTTAACTATGAAACTCGCTATGCTCATAGCTTTAATTACTGCTAGTAGAAAGCAGACTTTATCTGTATATTAGACATCGGTAATATAAGATGACAGTCTGAGGAATGTTCTCTCCCTTTAAATGGTTTCCTGAAACAAAATAGACCTAAAAACAATTTACAATCTATTTCATTGACATCGTATCCTACAGAAGAAGATCTGTGTGTGATAACTGACTTTTGTTGTTCATTATGACAGAAAAATAATGAATTCGTCCATTTTTCGTGAGGGTGTATTAAAATGTTGGGCGAAAAACTTTTTCAATGGGAAGTTAAATGAAGAAAAAATGGAATTCAAATTACTTCAAACAGTTGGCTTTAAATTGTGTCCAAAATTGTATTTTTAAAGGGCTTTCATTACAGGGTTCCATTATCGCAAAGTCATCTGCGCTTTTGCCTAAGCACAGGTTTTTGTTGAACTGTGGATTTATGACAGAGTTTTCATAAGACCACATTTGACTTGCTTTATCTGATTCACAAGCAGCAAATTTTACACTCTCTTCATCATGAGTTAAACACCTATCTCGACACTTGATTCTGGAGCCAACCATGTGTATTTTACAATAGCTATAGTGGAAAACAGAAAATCTGATGGTACTTAGATCACGATCTACTCTCATTGGAATTTGTCTTTCGGTCGTGTAGGGGTCTACATAGTTTGTATTTGCTTCTGGAATTTCAAGCTCCGGATAAACATTCTCTAGCAGCCATTTAAATGGTTTACACTTTAGTTTCTCTTTCAGTGTTTTGGTCCGAAGTAGAACTGAAGAGTCAATTGGGCCCAAAGCGGTGGTTGTGCATTGGAAAATTGGTTTGAATTCATCTAACCATAAATCTGCGATGTACCGTACGTTAATTTGTGGATTGTTCTGGATTTCGTAGGGTCGTTTCTTCTGTAGATGTGTAATGTGGCAACAGCGACATTTTACAACTCCTCCGCCACACAGCCAAGATTTTATAGATAGGTCCACATCCTCCGCACCCCAACCGTCAAAATAATCCGGAAAGCCTCCAATACCTCGAAAATATTGTTTGTTTACGGCGATGACTTGGCCCATTAAAGACACCTGTGGCATAGGATCTGTCATATTGTATTTTTCTAATAAATCGGGACGAAAGGCATCGAATGCAGCACCAAGTCGCCAGTTAAACACTATTTGGTAACTGTTGGGATCGGTTCCGTGAATTTCCAGAGTAGTTGATAATATGTGATCCTTGGTGCAAACAGCTATTCGCGTTGGTTCTTCAGTTATGGCTTCTAGAAGCGGCTCCATCCAACCTACGTTCACTTCGCAATGTGAATCCAAAAATAGTAAGACTGATCCCACGGCATGTCTAGCACCGTAGTTCCTACTTCTAGCAACGCCCATAGGAAACGGAGTCCGAATCAAGCGCAATAACTTAAATGTACTAACGAGTCTTTCAAAGGGCTCCAACAGATATGCGCGATCACTTTGGTCATCCACAAGGATGACCTCTAAGATTTGTTGCTTCGGACTCTTGATAAGCACGCTGATGACAGTTCTTAGTAAAGTTGACCAGGGTTCATTTACAAATGGAATAACAACACTAACTTTCAGATCGGAGCTAAACTTCCAGTTCTTTTGTTTACATTCTTCATGTCTTAAATCCTCTCCTATTCTGTCTAATGGAATCGAATGACTCAACGTTTCATTGAAACCCGAGAACATGGAATCACCAGTTCTAGGGAATGTTTTGTTAACTAAAAACATGAAATACTCCATATCAAATTGTTGTTCATCATAAAGTTGTTTTGGTCGCGCATGATCGGAATGTTTCTCCGTGCTTAACTTTGCTCTTAGTACATACTGTGGTTGGTTTTTAACGTCATTTGACCCGAAGAAAATTAAGTACAAAACAACAGCAATCAGTATCCACAATATTAACACCTGTCTTTTGTGCTTCATTCTGTAAAATACAACAACAACATCTATCATGCTATAATATTGTTTACAGAACTGTCATCAGTGGAGGCGCCAGCCTCATGGTACTGGGGGTACAAATAGGGGACAGACTATAACATAAAGGGGGGGGGGGGGGGGGTCGAGATTGAGATTCCAAATGTGAAAGCGCATTTGCATATAATGTGGGCGTACAAAATGCAATAATATAATATTGTAGTTATCGAAACGCGTTCAACATTAGTTTATGGGCACTCAAGATGGCAGATTAGAACGAAACTGGATGAAATTGTTCATTACCAACCCAGGATTAAGCCTATTACAAATCAGAAAATATTTGTACAGAGTTATTTCCCGTTTTTTTTTTCAAATGCAATCGGTGTAAAGTTAAGATCTTTTTCTTCCAAATGTGTTTAAATATTAAAACAAAAATGCTCACTAGTAAAAATACTGTGTAGATATATCCTAGACGATCCACCGTATAATTCAAAAACATTAAATATGTCCTATTGTCTGAGCAAAATTAAAAGTTTTTTTAATAGCCTAAAAATAGTACTGATAGTCTTAGAATGTCTTTGTGTTGATGAAAATATAAACATAAGTACAAATTAAAAATTTGTTTTTACAGAGGAAAATTTTCTGTCAAAAGTTTGTGACTTTTTATGGTTGAAATTTCTAGGCGAGAAATGTGTTTTCTTTTTCAATGTAATCTTACAAAAGTTTATATTTTTATCAACACAAAGACATTTTTATATTGTCAGCACCCCGTCCGTCCGTCAACATTTGCTTGTAAACGCTCTAAAAACTAGATTTTTTGATGGAATCAATTGAGATTCGGTACGTGTATACATATTCATAAAACGAAAATCAAGTTCGAGCTATTTTCGACCGTTAGAAGCAGAGTTATTGCCCTTGCTCCAAAATCTTGAATATGTTATTACTCTCTTAGTTTTCAATCGATTTTGATGAAACTTAAAATGGATGTTATTGCACCTAAATCGAAAGGTTTGAGAAAGTTTAGTTTACTTCTGATTAAATTTAAGGCTTTTTCAAGATCATTTATAATGATGAGATCTTAGTCAAGATTTGAGGAGTTATCGCCCTTTAACCTCCATACAGTAAGTGCTTCTATCAACATCAATTGCTCGTAAACACTCTAAAAACTAGAGTGTTCGAAGAAATCAAATGAAATTCGGTATGTGCATACATATTCATGAAACGAAGGTCCGTTCGTCCGTCGGTCCGTCCGTCAACATTTGCTTGTAAACACTCTAACGTAGCGGACGGCGGCAAGCGGACAGTAAAGACGTGCAACTGGACCTCTGAGGTGTACTGAACGGTGAAACAAACTGAACATTGAATCTTGTGATATTTTGTGACATTTTGTGATATTTCTTTCTTATAACATCAAAGTGTGGATAATTTGGATGTCAAGTATTCAGAGTGGCATATTAAAACGAGATAGATCAAGCGAAGCTGAGACTCTTAAACCTGAACTGAAAAATATTAGAACGGACAAATTTGACGATACAGCCATGGATTTAATTAGTAAACAAATGGAGATATTAATTGGGAGTATGGCGGAAATGAAAGGAAGTAACCATAACCATTCCTCGACACTTGAAAAAGGATAATATTTCGAAAACCGGTTCTTGTCAATTGCGTAAGTTTTTGTTTTACTTGTTATAATTTTTCACATCATTGTTAGCGTTATTTATCACCTAAATATATATTTATAAAACCCAGTTTGACTTATTTGCATAATTTGATCCCCACATTTTCACGCTAGCATATACAGTTTCCTCCTGTTACATCCGCTGTACATTCCCTTTCTAACCTCAAGTTATTTTCATTATGCTCCCCAACTACAACAACCACTGGCAAGAAGCCAGACATAGAAACACTAATCGTCAGCCAAACCAACACCACGTACTCTACATCGGCCTGTCTACCACCTACCAATCGCCGACCACCAACCAACCCATCCAGCTATATCCCACCCTATCGCCGACCTACCTACAACACAGCCTACCAATCCAGGGGTAACCATCGACCTGACCAACAACAGAAACGACTACCAGCCCACCGTCGCCAACCAGTCCCCACTCATAAGGAGGAAGAACCCTTTGTGAAGGTGTTCTTCCAAGTTTTGCAGTGCCTCCATCATTTGGCAATCCTTACCCTTCAACAAGGCCAACCAGCGTTTACCTTCAAACGCAAAGTCTCTGAGTTGGATAGTTTTATCCGTCCAGCAATGAAAATATCAGCTGTCGACGCGAATATTAGATCCCTCAATCGGACATGGCTCTCTAAGGTTACGCAGGTCCTGATCGACCATTACCAAACCATACTCCAAGAGAAGCTGATCACCATTCGTACCAAGTCTTTATCATCACCTGCCGTCGACCGCATCGTTTCTCATGCCCTGTCCTGGGCCCGTCGCTCCTATGGCAAACATCTCACTCAAGCTGTAATCACCAAATTCTACCAAACAATCAACGAAACAAAAACCAGAGTAACCATATCTCTACCAACTGAAATGGACACTACACCTGCACCATCTAGAGCCATCACGCTGCCGAACCAAACCCCTAAACGAGCCCAAAGTTCACTTACTCCTAGTCCAGCAGACATAGGTAAACGCTCTCGTAGAGAGGGCACTCCCCTTCTCTTTTCACTTTCAGACTCGTCTTCCCCTTCCACACCATCTGCATCTTCACCACGTGATCCAGGATCCGCCAACCTTTCTGCCTTCTGTGCGTTTTTGGACCAGCAAACCACCCCTCAGTCTCCATCTAAGTCGAGGCGTGTATCCAGACCTCCCCTCCCCCCCTCCCCTCGAACCAGATCCCAGTCCGTTCCCAATGCTACCAAACCAGTACCAATCACACCATCGACAACCATTATATCCGCTACCAAACCATATTATCACCAAACCAAGGACAAATCATTATGGAAGCTACCTGCTCTAAAGAAATCTACCTTAATAATTGGATCATCTAACCTGAATCGAATTACCAAAACCAGTTCAGACACTGAAATATATTCTTACCCCGGTGCCCAAATCCATCACATACAGTCAATCCTGGAATCATACGACCATGATCCCAAACCTACTACCATTATTCTTCATGCAGGCCTCAACAACCGTGATCACCTACCAAGCCCAGAAATTAATCGCTACAGCCAACAAAACCTTCCCAAACTCCAAGATCTTCTTCACATGTATAAAATCTCGAAGAAAGCACCACAGAACCTCAGCACCCTCAACAACATGATGATGGGTATCAACAGCGCAACAATCTTACCACCCTACGAAGAAGAATTCGAACCAGTTGATAATCTTCATTGGTCTCCAGAAACAGCAAACAGCATTTATTTGTTTTGGATACACCAGCTTCAAGCATCGAGTAAGTGTTTAAACTAATTACTGAGGATAAAAATACTGAGAGGCCACCGCTAGGCCAAACTGTAGTTAACTTGAGCCGCAAAATTCTCACACCCCTTCAGCATTCAATCTTAGACCATGTTTAAACCAACTTTATTCCCACACTAAAGATAGCTAACTTAAATTATCTCCGTCCATCCATTGAACGATTTCAACGAAATCTTAGCTGCACATATTTTTTTCGAAACCACCCCCACGTGGTGCTAGAACAATGTTTATTCCTAAATCCACGTGGACACCCCCTCAGGCCGCCATCCATCCTGAAATATTGAAAGCATTTGCGAGTATGAATAGCCAAATAGTGAACCTTTCCATAGCACACGAAAACCTAATCTCACACGAGTGGAACGTGAAGCGTTAAACTTACTTAAGAAAGACGATAGCATTGTTATTAAAAAGAGTGACAAAGGTTCATGTTGTGTCATTCTGAATAGGGAGGATTACGTTTCAGAAGCAGAGAATCAACTGAATAATCCTAAACATTATGCCATTTTACCGAAAAGAAACTGCTAACATGATTAGCAATATTTTTGCCGATTTAGTCAAAACTAGTTATCTCAAACAGAAACAATATGACTATCTGTCTGCCAAACCTGATTGTCGCGAGAGACATTTGTACACTTTGCCTAAAATCCATAAGAAATCCAACCAAGGAGTGGTTTATCTCGAATAAAATCCCTAAAGGCCGCCCGATTATATCAGACTGTGATAGTGAGTCATATGCAGTGTCAGAATACATTGATCATTTCTTACTACCTCTAGCATGTCAACATCGCGCCTACCTTAAAGAAACAACCGATTTTGTCAATAAAATAAAAAAATCTTCGAGTTCCCTCTAATGCTATTTTAATTTCTATCGAGGTTTCTTCTATGTATACCAATATCGATAACAAATAATAACCAATAGCAGAAACAAATAAACTGGATATTAAAGTGTAAGCAGAAACAAATAAACTGGATATTAAAGTGTATTTCAAAGAAACTGATACTCATCAACTCTTGCACAAGAGCTCCTTTCACCCAAAACATACCTTTTCTGGTATAATTAAGTCACAAGTTTTACGATTTCATCGAATTTGTACAAGATCTTCTGATTTCAACCAAGCCTGTACGATTGTTTTCTCAAGACTGAAAGAGCGTGGGTACTCTAAACGATTTTTACGAAACATAAAAAATTCCACCTTAGCACAGATAGCAGCTAAAAACAGACTTTATGCCGAAGTACCTCCAGGTTTAAGAAGTGCTCCATGTTTGTCCAGTAGATGCAAAACATGTCCCTTTATATCAGAAACTCATTATTTTGTAAGCA